CAACAACTGCTGTTGATTCAAAATTACTCTTTATAATTATATCTACCCTCTCTAAAGTCAGAGCACAATGTGATCAGTCAGACATCATTTTAATTCACTTTTCAGTCATCTATTGTAACACAGTTATAACCTCTACTTGAAGATTTCTTTTCAAGTTGAGCAAAGTAAACTGTGACAGAGCTGTACTGTTTCAGATTGAACTCTCATGATTTCCTGTGAACGAAAACCCAGAGTTGCGCAATAGCTTTGCACTGAAAACCACTAAATAAAATGCAACCTTTTTGAATCCTCCTAAATCAAAACAGATGAACTGCTGCAGTTGATTTTGTTAAAAGGTGCTTTCTGTTGTACATTTCTATCGGCACTTTCATGTAAAAGTTACAATGAAATGAGGGAAAACTTCTTTTGTAGAAAACTTGGTTCACATCTGAGCAAATTAAAGTATTTCCCGATAGGAGCTGTCAGTTAAACACAAAACACGCTCCAACTTGACAGTGAAAACTTTCTCAATACTAATGGTGTGATATGTCAGTGTAAACCGTAAAGCACACTCAGTTTACTCTTAACCTCAGGTGTCAGGTTTAAAGACCCAGAACAGTTTTGAAAAGGCTTTTGAAAGGAATACATGAAGGAAAAAGTGCTTTCGGTAAACGGCTAGTGTAAATTTATTATGATTAATAAGGAGTCATTTGATAAAACACTTATTTGACTCTGCATGGGGGGTTGTGCAGAGCCAGTCAAGAGCCACTGCACTGCAGCCAACAACACAGATTACACACAGATGTTAAATGATTCTCTCTGGCTTTCATTACCATGTCTAGTCCAAAATGAATGTGTTCTCTGGAAGACAGAATTATCCGTTGCTCAAGATTCTGTCATAAAAACATGACTTTTGACTGTAAAATAGCTGTAAAATTAAACAAGACAAGAAAAAGAAAATCATTGAATATTCATTCAGCGGTTCAGGGCCTTACAAATATATTTATTTATTTTCAGATTTACTCATAATACAGCCAAAACATGAATGTGTTTATTAGGTTTCTATGTGATAACCTATAAACAGTAGTGCTATTAAAAGTAATGAAGAAAAAAAACAATCTGAAGAGCTTTTAATAGGTTTTCTTCCAGGGTTTTCCTGTATTGCTCTGTTCGTCATTGTATCATGTGTGGGAGATCATTCTCACAGTATAACGCTGCCAACATCATCTACTTCTGTGGAATGTCTTCAGGGGGGTGTACACTTTTAGTTTAGTTTTTTTTTTACATGGAAGCTAAAATATTTAATTTCTAACTAACTACAGCCCATTCTTCTTACCTTAGCTGTGCTCCTTTCCACACTGTGAACTTTAAATGGGACTTTTGCGGCTTGCTTTGGATATTTTCTTTCTTTCTCCTCTTCTATAAAGGAAACTTGTGTAAAATCTATTTCAAATAGCTGTCTTGTGGAGTACTAAATACAGTGCCTTGTGAGAGGATTTGGCCCCCTTGAACTTTTTCAACCTTTTGTCACTTTTTAGCATTCAAACATAAAGATTCAAAGTTTAAAATATCCAATAAATGTTGTTCCATGATTGTGTGTTGATCCTTCACAAAAAATACAATTTTAGATTTTTTATGTTTAAATCCTGAAATGTGGGAAAATGTTGAAAAGTTCAAGGGGGGCGAAAATACTGTCTTAAGGCACTTTACCTCTTGGCTGCTACTCTGTTTAATACTCTCCTTTCTCTGCTGATTAATTAGATGAATCATCTTTCTTCCGCTGTTTGCTATTATGTTTCTTGGTTTCATGATTATGTTTGTTCATTCAAATTCTCTAAAGAAAACCTCAAAGGCCCTGAAGGCACAATATAAACTGAGATTAAATTGCACACAAGTGAAATCTGTTCACAATTAATGTGATGTTCAGTTGGTTCTTTGGGTTTTAGAGGGGGTGGAGAAAAGTAAGGGATGAATTACAATTTCTATTTAAAAAACAAACAAAAACAAAACAACAACACAAATTATTTTGTACTATATTAGACAAACTTTATTCCACTGAGATTAATAAAAATATGACATGGCTATGATCATTTACTAGACTCTGGAGATAATAATAACCTGTGTTAGTTTTTATCAGATGAAGGGTTCATTTTTTTAAAATAACTAGAACTATACAGATGTTGAAATCTCAGATAATTAATGGCGTTTAATGCAATGACATAAAGTATTCACTAGGTGGCAGCAGTTGACTATTTGAAATTACAGCATAAGCACAAACTTTTTTGTATTAATTATCCTGCATAAAATCCCATTTTCCCTTTACAACAAGAAGCTTACATTTAGATTTTTGAACCAGGAAATATATAAATAATTTAGTTTGATATTAGAAAAGCTGTATAACAGTGTATACTATAAGAATAAAAAAAGATGGAAGAGCAAAAATAGAGTTACATTTATCTAATTATGAAATACATCCCAATGATGCTTTTTTGGTTCAGACTCAAAGTAACTTTACTTCTCCATTAAATAAAACACTTTGGGGTTTTTTTGTGCATAAAATAATATTTCCATCTCAAATGTCCTATTCCCATTAGCAATGAGCCGAGAGATGTAATAAATGAATGAATAATGTGTTTCATTTAGTAAATTGAGTTAGCAAAATAGAATTAATGTTTCCATAAGATTTTGATCTATTTATTGTGGCTGCAACATTAAAGTTAGAAGAAAGGCTGCTTTATTTCCCTGTCAAGCTTAAGTTTTATGGCGCAGGCTTGGAGAATCATTTAGCTAATTTTTCTCAAATCGAAAATGACTCCTGTAAGGGAATATAAAATATGAGTGCTTCCAACAAAAAAAAAAATGTTGCTTTATTGTTTTTCTTATGAAGGTCTTTTTTCCCCCTTTTTTGTTCATATTATACAATCAGATTAGTTTATTGCATTTATCCTTTTAGAGATCAGCTTCTTAGCTCTTAATCTTTTAAGCACGCATGAACATTTTTATATAAAACCTGATGGGGAATTCCTAATTCATACCTCTGAACCAAGTTAGAAATTAGTCCTGGAATCACAGTAGATTCCCTTTTTCCTGTCGGATTTATTACAATAGTAGCAGAAACCAGGAGAATGGAAAAAAAATTAAAGAAACTAAAATAATACTTCTACTCGCTCCATTTTAACAGGATCTTCAAATGATGAATAGAGATATGATAAGAGAGGATGGCCCTGTTCCTTGAAAGATGCCTGATGTGAAATCAATTGGGATCATCTGAGTTGTGTCCTCCACGGTCCCCCTTCAATACAAAAGTAAAATTCTTCCACTCAAATAGCTACTTGCCTGTTTGGGCTTATGACTTGAATTTGTATCTGTGGGTCAGTGGCTGTCCACCCTATGCACATGATGTTCATTATGATAAGTGTAATCCACTGAGGAGCTGCACATGTATAATTAAGAGAAGGGTTGTACTGCATGTGACACTGTTAGATAAAAATTAAGTTTGTACAGCAGCCTGGCTAACAAAAAGAGCTTAGAGAGGTTATGAAATCTGCCCTTTAAAATTAAAAATGTTGTTTTTCTGATCCTGTTATAGGGAGGTGTATAGGAATTATAAAGGTAGTCCCAACATGCGAGGAAATCCTTTCTTCTTAAAGTCACATAGTGAGTTAAAGTCTGTTAGTCAGCTGGAGGGAGAATCTTTGACATTTGTAAAGGCATAAAAGCTGTGCCCATACACAGATAAGCATCCTTCTTGCACTTTTTATTCCATTTAAGTCTCATTTAGGTGAACAATTCGAAAATTACGTTTTTGTCCACGGCATATTGCTGGAACCACCATTGTTTTTGTGAGGGCATGACCTTTACAAGGTAATGCACCGTGTTAGTTTTCCACCAGACAGTGTTTTCTAGAACTTCTTATAGCTGCCTCTTTGCAATGATCTCCTTTAGCTCAGTTATTCAAAATATGTCCGATTTGTGAAGTGCAAGACAGATAGTTCTGTTGTTGGCGGGTTTTCCCAACTCAGATGAGGATCTCTGCAGCCCCTCCAAAACGGACAGGCGACCATATCTCACGATAATTGTTCCCCTCCTTAGTTTAGTTGACCTCATGGTGGGGGATGGGCTTCATTTACTGACTTGGTAGCTTGTAAAGGTGCTTGGTTGCACAATTATTGACATGAATCAAATGAAAGAGTTCAAAAGACATTTGGACAAGAATTTTTTTAGCATTTGCAACAGAATTTAAGATACATCAGTTTCTCAATAGTCCCACTTAACAATTGTTAGCTACTTTTAATTTACAGCATGGGAAGGTTTAAGAACTAGTTTGTCATTCTCCATAATAAACTATACAAATTTGCAGCCTTGTGGGAATCTATGGTTTGTTTTTGAGAACAGGAGGATTTTTTTTTAAACCATTTAGAGGGCTTTTGTTACATTGTGCAACCTATTTTTCAGGAATGTGTCATTAATGGCCTTTAGGCACAACAGGTTGGTTTAGGCTTAATGTACACTGAGAAAATAACACACCTTTGTGAAATGAATGTTGTGGAACTAGGTCTGAAAACGCGTTGCTCCTTTTCTAGACTGTGTTCCCTCTAATACTGAAATCCTCTTTGAACATGACGCAGTGCCACCAATAGAAAGCAGGATTAACCCATACATAGAAAGAGCAGGACATTAGAGAGCTTCATGGAGCACTTATCAGGACACCATTCAGACCATTCATGTTATTTCAGAGCTTTGGGGGAATGGATTCTTTTTCCCATACTCACAAGGACAGTAGATAAAAAAAAGGCTTTCCTCCTGCAAGATTTCAGAGACATTGGTACTAACATCAACAACAACAATGCTCTGTGGCAGGCATCATTACCACGGTGACGCCCTCTCAATGGAATAATCTCCTAGGTGACGCCCTCCACTGACACGCCTAGAGGTGGCTGGTATCTTGCAGCAGGCAGGTGCATCCTGTGCACCAGAAGACGGAGCAGTCTGAGGAAAGCTTCTCTTTTTTCAGACTCAGACTTTGTTGATAACCAACAGCAGAGGGGTCTGAGCACAATCCAGGATTTATACTGGAAAACTTGCATTTATGTATTTGCATTTATAAACCTTTTTTTCTTATTTTGCTTCATTTGGGTATAATTTCCCTATGGATTTAGCATTTTAAGTGGCTGTTGGATGATTTGCTTATGTTCAAAATTCTGCTGACATAAGTTGCTCCACAACAAGGCTGAGGGGCCCCTCAAGTTTCAGGGTCAGACCTCAGGGCCGAGAATGGAAAGATTTGAAGCCAATTACTTTTTTGATGAAGTGAGAGAGAGCCAGATTGACAATCGAAAGGGTTTAGGCGACACACAGTCTTCGTATTTGAGTGGCCAATCTAGGGAAGGGGATCATTACATCTGGCACATCCACAATGTCCATGGACATCAATCGGCAGCACAGCGATACATGGCCACACGGATTCAAGCAGGTTTTTCTCCAGAAAAGTAAGTATTTATTATAAGATTGGAAAAATCTTACACAAAAAAAAATTCCTATAGAGCTCAGAATATTTAAATAAAAATATCGGTATTGGTGAAAAACCACTTAAGCTGTGAAATATTATCGTATTGGATTTAGGCCATAATTCAAATATGGTGCATCCCCCCAATATCTGATTTTTTAAAGTGTTGGTTCAGGCTTTCATTAAGCACATCTGAATAAAATGGAAAAGTATAACACAATTCACAGGTAGGTTTTTTTCACAAATGTACTGAAAAAATAAGCTGTTTTTCCAAATCCAAACATATTAGTGGAAAATTGAGCTGAAAAAAGCACTTCACTTTTGCTCAATATATTATTGGGGAGATCCAGAAGCCTAAAAAGAGGGAGGAGACGTCCAAGTTTGTTAAAGACCAATGTGAAATGTTTACAGTCAGTGATGATCGGAGGAGCCGTTTCATCTGGATTCGGTCTATTTTGCTTTGTCAAGTCTTTGGTTGTCTATCAGGAAATGCAAGATCACTTGAACTTGTCTCTGAATTGTTTCAGCTGATCTTAGTACCTGTTCAAACAGTATTCACTGCATATTTGCCTGCAAAGGGGCTGCATCAAGCACAATACATGCACTTTAAGAATTCCTTGGTTTAACTGGTCCAACTCATGTTGATCTATTCAACACTAACAGCTTATCCTGAGTTGATAAGTATTATTTTGAACCTGACACCCTCCTGTTCTTGTGCAAATGGACAGAGGAACTCACTGTAAAGAAAAGAGCAAAAAGCATCCAGCAGGGTGAATAAATAGTGTTGAATCAAGTGCTCGAAATAGCTGCATGTCCATAGAACCACTGACCCATATCTGTAATGACCCACATTCAAAAATGCAGAAAAACACAGTGTGCAACAGACCATCCTGAGTCAGCTAAACAGATTTCAAGCAATGCTTCCCAACAATTAATAAGAAAAGGAGCTTTAATTAATCATCAGACTGCATCCCCGTCTGCTGCTTGCAATGGAAAGTAAAACAAAGCGTTGATTGGTATTATTCATTATCTCCTCCCCTTTCATAGATGCAGGAAGGTGATGAAAGATCTATTTAGTGGTGAGAAAGCCACAGTTAATAATTTTAACTCACACCTGTTTGATGACTAGGCCAATGTGTTAATTAGAAGGAATTAGTGTGTGAGGAAAACAGTTAGATCTTGCTAGGTTTATGCACAGTGAGTTCAGAATTACACCTGAAACTGTTGCTATAAAGACTAACTCATGTTCAGTTTCAGTTTTTATTTTTATCATTCTTAATATGACCTTTTCACTTCCTCTACAGTTAAGTGCCAAGTACAAGCTGTTATATGAGAAGAAAGCAGTCAATAGAAAGAAAGACAATATACTTAAATATAAAGGACTAATTGGACATCAGATTTTGATCATTTCTGACAAAAATTATAATACATTACCTTTTATTGTTAATTTTAACTAGATTTGTCTAACTGCTTTCATGTGAATGAAACTGGGCCGGTGGCTACTGCTTTATGCATCCAGCCCAATTGGGATCATGTGATTGAGACCAAATTTCAAACAGCCTTTCCTAACATCAACAAGATGTTTCACTTAATAAAAGGAAACAAGCATGACGGTTTTGATTTTGGAGAGCAGTCATGAGACTTATTGGTTTCTGCATACCTATTTAGCAGACCTGCAAAAACTCATAATCTTGTTCTCTGTGTTCAAAAGTTGGGCACAAACGGTTAAAGAGCATATTAGACCTTATGGTGCTTTCAAAAAGTAGTCATACGTTTCTCTTTGAATGGTTGCATTTTTTTATATTACAACTACAAAAATTATTTTAATTTAGGGGACTTTAGTAATCTAAACACAAAATAGGGCATATTGTATTTATTTTGATCAGTTGCTCTCCTTAAAGACCCAATTATCTAACACCAAGCCCCTGCTCCTACTCACCTAATCAAATATCATTTGATAGCCTATATCTCAACTCATTACCAAATTTTTCAGCTCCTTTCTAATATTAAACTTCATTCAAGTTGGTTCAAGCGAATAACATTCATAACATGTCTAGTTTTTTTTTTCTTGAATCTCAGTCATGCTCCCATTGTTTCTGTTAAGCTTTACTGTTTCCCCTAAAGAAAAAATACATCCCAGATCATTATGCTGCGACCTTTTTTGTTTATTATTTCTGGATAGTTACTTCAAGGTAATTGATTGATTGACTTTATTGATCTCACAGTGCAGAAATGTTCTCGTTACAATGCCTCAATAGTCAAAAAAGAAGGAAAAGGTGCCAAAAGGAGGAAAAGTTGCATGGTGGGTATATACAGTATAGTATATTAAACAAATTTGAGCATTGTGTATCATTGCACAATGATTTCTGCCACCTATAGCAATTAGCATGTTCTCCTAAAACTGCTATTTTGGTCTCACATGATTTTATCTGAGTTTAGAAGGGTCTAATACAAAAATACACATTCTGCTTTTCAGATGTTAAATATGAAACTACATATATCATGCAGAGAGTGAATTTCCCAACTGTGGGACAATAAAGGGATATGTATTTACATGTTTAACATATCACTACAATATTTGAACTGGTCTGTCCTGTTCTATAACAATTGACTCTAGATGTGAATGGCGGCAATGATCTGCATTGGATGGCGCACATGACGTGAATTAAATATTTATAAACATTAAACCGAAGCCAAGAGTAACGAGTAACATCTGTTTTAAAAATGTAAGGAATAGAAAGTACAGACACTTGTGTAAAAATGGAATAAGTAGAAGTCAGAAGTAGGAAGAAAAATAAGTAATGGAGTAAAGTATAGATACCTAAAAAGTGTACTTAAGTACAGTAACAAAGTATTTGTACTTGGTTACTTGACACCACTGGTGAATATGTGAAATATCTTAGAAAACATCCCTAATAACTGCATCAGCAACATAGCTACTGTAGCTGACTTGTCCTGATGAGGTGGTTGGCGAATAATCAGTAGTAACTGGAATTTTGGTCCTAAATGGCCGCCATACATACTCTACTTGCACTTTTTATCATAAAATCAGCACCTCTGTCTTAATCTTAACTGCCATCTATGAACTTGCAGCTGCAACTAATACAAGTCTAGCAGGATTCCTTTAAACTAAACATAAAAGAGAAGAAAAGTTGTCCGTTCCGCCTTTGAAGCAGCAGAATTGAGTGGGTTAAAGTGGCCACATGATGGAGGTGGGGAAGAGGGGATGTGACGCTGCTCTGCTCTCAGTACATAACAGCAACACTGTCTGTCTGCAGACAGCAAGCAGCCACTTCTCAGCCTACTACTCATTTACTCCTTGGACCCACGGGGGACTTTTCTTTTCGTCTCGTTCATTTCTCTACAAGGTAACGAGCTAGTGATGCGTTCACGGTCACCTTGTTAGGGTTTAGCAAACGCTCACAGCTGGGAAGTTGTTTCTTTTGTCAACGTGGGAACCTGGTCTGTGAGACTGAGGCTGCTAGCCCACCCGAAGAAAGATGCTCGACTTTATTATTAGGAGGAACTTTAAAAGTTTGAGCCATTTCCTGCACTGTTAAACGTCGTAAATAAGAGTCGTTGACGTAAAAGTCTTGCAAGCCGTTATTTGGACGTTAAGACTGGATAACAAAGCTGCTAATGCTAAATGCTAACGTTTTCCTCCACATGTCTGCAAACTGAAGTGTGGATGTTGCTCATGTTATCTACAATTCATCACCGTTTTTTAATAAAGTAACATATCATCATAATAGCGGGTTTAATAAGACTTTTGCGATTTTTATTTTTTATTTTAATGGAGTAAACGCGTTCAAAAGCTTTAGGATATGTTAGGTTATAAAATATTGCCCCAAGGGTAGACTTTAACTTTTTTATTGTTGTAGTCGGAGTTACAAGCTGTTGGTGAGAAAGGTGTGCTAGTTATGCTTTTTTTAAGTAGCCGATATAATTTGACATTATTGCTCAAAGCTAATGATGTTAATCATTGACTAGCTAACCTAAATACAACATATGAGCTGTGTTGTAAACATCTGTTGATGCATCTTTTTCTCCCATAAAATAATTAGTGATTATGTACTGTAAAGTTTAGTTTTGCTTTTTGTTCTTTGCATGCAGGTGGTAAGGAATCCGTACCCCTGAATCTAACACTGAACTTGCTTTAGAAATCAATCAAATTAAAATAAGTCTTCCCTTTAAATATTTACAATACTACTTTTAGCAGTATTTTAAGTATGATTAAAATATTCGCACATCTTTTCGAATTCGGCATTATTAAAATACACAAATGCGACTTTTTATCGTGTTTATTTTGTACATCTATGTACTACTACTCCCTCAATAAATCACTGATTACATTTAATGTTTGTAATAGCTGCAGGGATTGATTATTATGTTGTTTCTTTTGCATTAATGGGATGAATAAAGCTGTAATCTTTTAAATCCAATCCCAAGATCCATTTCAGGCTCCACCAAGATCATCTCAAGACATAAACCTTTGCAGTGTAAATAATGTATGTGCACCTTATATTTCATTTTGCATAATCAAAACTAGGTAGATTTCCTGATACTGCCACTATGTTCATGTTAAAGCCTGTTAACAGATTAACAAGATTAGGAAGTTACCATATGGTGGGTTACTTTTTATTACCAAAATTTAAAGCTGCACCTGCAATGGATACGAAAGGCTATTATTAGAGACGCTCCCTATATGCACCTCTATGTAAACAAGAAAGAATGATCTGAAGCACCATATTTTTGTTATCTAGGGGTGTGGAGTGCTAGCAGCTAATGTTTGCTAGCAGCTGATAATCTAATCTAGGTCACCAGGCCACTAAAGCTAGAGTTGAGATGTGTTTTGTCTTATCCAGCATGATTGTTAACTATTTTTAAGGTATCTGTTTTTGAACTCAAAATGTTGTTTTTGTGTTCAGGTCAATATTCAGATTTTTGCTTCTCGTAGAATAGTGTGAGGTCTATCGCACTGCTATGTTGTTTTCATTTTGTTATGCATTATTTTAAAACAGTTACTTTGCTTTGCTTTCCATTCTATCTAACATTTGATGAGTTATTTTACAGTACGTCTGCTCCAGCACACTATTAAAAGCCTTTCAACATGTGCATATGTATTATTTTTCACACAGAGCCTCTGATTGAAGTTGCCTCTCTTTGTATTTTTTTTGCAGCATGGCGGATTATTTAATCAGTGGTGGTACAGGCTACATCCCAGATGATGGACTCTCAGCGCAGCAGCTCTTTTCAGTTGGTGACGGCCTTACATACAAGTAGGTATCCCTGCATCACAAAATTCTAATTTTATTTTTCTTCCACACATCTGTGTAAAATAGTCAAACCGACTCCAAAAGCCGTAAGATTTTAAGACCTATTTTCACTTAATGGTGGGTTAAGTGTGCACACCAGTGCTTTGTAATAGTCGACGCATTTTGAACCAGCAGATGTGACCAACAGTGTGTTGTCTCGGATGGCCATACGGCTGAAGAGCTTTGCTCTAAAGGAGATGGGTTGACTTACAAGTGAGTAAACCAATCATCTTCAAACTATTAAAGAAAACCCTCTGTCTATCCAAAATCGTACATTTTAAGGGGGAAGCAAATTATTACCCTTAAAACTTTCACCTTTATCACAAATTTTAAGATGGTTGTCATGGTTTAAAGTGCTTAAATTTGCCTGAACGCTTAACTTGTCCTGGTTATGGGGATGAAATTTGCTTCCAGTGTTCATAACATTGTTAATTATAGATTTCATAAACAGATCAGCAATGTACTTGACTTCTTATCTACATGGGATGCATGCCTAACACCTAATGTTCTTTCTGACTCATGCTTCGGTCTTTGATTTCTTTGGAAACCTTAGTGCTTATTCATCAACCTTTTTTTGCTTCACTCTTCGCATACTGGTGACACATGCCTAATGGGTCAGCTAACCATCCAACTGTGAACCATATCTAAAGTTGCAGCCTGAGGTTTACATATGCTGTATAAAAACACACAACCTTTTATTCTTAACATATGACATTATATCAAAAGGTTTAGGACTTTTGGAATCACCAAAAAAAGAAAAATAAATTTTTTCTCTCTTTAAAGTGTGCATTTAACATGCACTTAAAACACTGGATTTCTTTTTTTTTTTTGGCCACAGGTTAATTGCTTGTTTTATATCTGTTTTGTTGCCTAACAACAATGTTTAACTTGGTTAGTTCTGGGTCTTAAGGAAAGGTCAGACTGCCGTAAAGCGGCGCTCTTGGTCACATGACATTCAGTCTTGGTCCACCTCTGTAAAGTTATATAGTTTAGCTTTTAAGAAAGGCGACTCATCTGGAGAATTGATGAGATGTGTGCTATATATTCACCTGAATAATCCTTTAGTATATTTCAATTTGCTGTAATTGTTAAGGCAAAAGTTATGCACCTTTGATTTAAGACTACTATGCTTTTTTTGTTGTTGTTGTTAATAGTAGAATAAACCACAGAGCTGTGACAGATGGAGGTCTGATTACATTCGCACCATTTTCAAACTGCTCTAGAAGTTCAGTAGGAACCTAATGTGGACCAGTTACTGCAAATAGTTCACACCCTATTTGGAGTTCTGAGTTCTTTTAAGTAGACTAGATATGATCTGTTATTTAGAGAATCAAAAAAAAGGAGTATTCTTTTTCCTGGAATTTAGCAAATAACAAAGTTTGGTGTGATTAAATATTGTAATTTTAGAAGGGAGGAAAAGTAATGTTAATTTTAGACATTGTAAGTATACCTTTAGAGTTAATAACGCAAAGCCATTTATTAGTGGAAGTTATTTTAACAATGAATTGAATAGACACATTCTTTTCCTAAATTGTTAACCATCTCTGATCGATGCTGAAAATCCCTTTACCCAAAAGAGTTCTTAGCTAAAATCCCTAAACTCCTGGCTTCCCTCTTCCCGTCTCCTTTGCTTCAGCTTAAGGTTGCGCTCCTACTCTTGTTAAAGGTTTTACTAAAACTGACTGAATGGGGATCATTTCACTCAGTTTATGCTTCCTTTTGCTGTTCTCACTCTTTTTTTTTTTTTTTCCACAAAAACGAAAGATGATTGGATTCTATCTAGCTGTAATTAAAATTCAGTGTTTATTTAATTTTTGTGTGTGTGATACTCAACTTGTATGTATAATTTTTTATTTATTTTTTTTATTAGACAAAATGTAACAGAAAGACAACCAAAACACACGTTTTTTGTCAGAGCTAAACACCAGATGTAGAGATTGCTTTTTAGTTTTCAGTCTATGCTTTGGAATAATTGGTGCACCTACATTTTTACTAAAATTCTTCAGTCTTTAAAGTCACATTTCATCAATATTACAGGCTAAAATTAAAGTCAGTACTATTCAGAGTTTAATTAGTGAAAAATTGTCTTCCTAACTGTAAACTGGTTAGTTTGCAAACTTGAAACGAGGGAAAACGTTCACCTTCCATTACTACGTGGATGCTAAACATGCAACCAGAGATGGAAGAAAACACATTAGACGAAAATCTCCCTCCCTTTTCACAGGCTGAGCTTCATTGTATTGGTCTGAAATATAAAATCCCAATGAAGGAAATGTAAATCAGAGGCATTTATGTGAGCATGAGTGGAAAAGGGGGAAGAGTATGAATATGTTTTGCAAACAAAGGACCATGCAAAATCAAAGTTTCCCATATTCCATTACAGTACAGTAATATGAACCGGTTTTGTGTATATATATATATTTTTAAATGTGCAAAACAATACTTTGAGTTACTATTTTCTGCTTTGATTATTTTTTTTGTGCAAAGCTGTCAGATTTCTCTTTGTCAGCCAAAGACTGAAAACAACCATGTAGAGCAGTATTGGTCCTTGTTTTGCACCTTGAAACACTCCCTCTGAGCATCATGCATTTGTCTACATTTAACATTCAAATTTAAACCATAATAAGGCCACAGCCGAGCTTTAGTTTTCATCAGGGTTCAGAGCCTGTTTGGCTGTGACTGTCAGTTCAGGCTGAGGTTTGAGGCACCAGCTAAATGTTAACAGATGTGAATGCTTACTGTTTGTGGTGGGACTCCTGACTTTTAGTGTCCCATTCAGCAAATCTATTTTAGTCTCTCCTTGTCTCCACCCACGCTGGAGCAAAATAGTCTGCTTTCATTCTTCCTTTAACTCTCTCGCCACCAATAGGGCTCATCTTTTCCTGGTTTTGAATCATTTCTACTACATACCTCTGATCTGACCTTTTCTAAAAATACAGTTTCCTATAGCCCTGTGCCTTTTCCGTTTCTCCACTGCGTCGTCTCACACCCATCTGCAAAAACCACTATATACACACAGACAGCCTGAAGGTAGAAAAACATCATTCCTATGTGGATTTTTCTTAAATTATCTCATTCAAGTTCCTCTTGTTTTTAAATTAGCCAGGAGCTCAAAAAGGTCAAAGGTATCTTTTTCAACAGGTTCATCAGGTACCTGACTGTGCCTGTTGCCTTTGCGTAGCTATTTTTTGAGAACCATTTAGACACCCTAAGGGAGTCCTAACGATAACATAAAATGCAGTGCTTCAACTTTTTAATTTAGCTTAAAATGTTCAAATGTTGTTTTCCAAGTTTCTCCTAATGTTATTATCGCAGCTAATTTGTTCCTCTGTGAGCGTCTAATTTCGCTCAATGATGTTTTTAGACGTTGTTCATTGTGCACAAGTCCTTGATATTTTCCCTTGACCATCTGATTTCCTTTTTTGTCTTTCAGTGACTTCCTGATTTTACCTGGCTTCATTGACTTTACCTCAGATGAAGTGGTGAGTGCACACTCACAGACCTACATGTTCTATTCACCTTTAAAGGGGGTATAGAATCATTATATAGGGTATTTGGTGCTGGTCCCTAAATCTCTCAACTTGGGGCTTTGTTTGGATTCGCCCGTTTTATGGTGGAAGATGGAATTATGAGGTTTGGAGAGAAAGGAGGTGTTGATGGGCTTTGAACCTCTCTGTATTTCCATTTCACCCACTGAACTATCGTTATTCATCCATGACGATGTAAACTCGGTTTTGCATTCTATGACCCCTTTAACAAGAGTTTTTGTCCAAAGATCTTCTATGAAAGCTTTGCGTTTCTTAAACTTGCTTGACTCGTCTCATACTAAAGTGAACAGAGTGTTTGAGGAAAAAAAAGATGGCAAAAAAAGAAAAGCTACACAGAAAATCTTACACCTCACACCGCAGCCTTCTTTCCTAACTCCAGCTTTTTGCTTTCCATTTCTAACCTACATCATCTCTGCTGACTTTCTTTTTTTTTTTACTTGCTATTTTTGCCCGGTGTGGTTAACCACTCGCTGCACCAACACCCTTTATGTTTACATCCATGTCTGGTCAGTGGCTCATCCGTCTCTTCCCTCAGATGAGTTAATCTCCTGGATTTAAATTTAATGAAATCTCCCTCTTCTGTCCCATCCATCTCTGAGGGACTCAGTTAAAGTGGTCTATAATCTCTTTATGACATGTGCAGCGATAAAGAGCGTTAATTTTTTCAGTCAAAGCAGTGTTGAAAAGGAGACCAGTGGGACAGGCTCAGTTTGACATTATTTTAATAAAAGGCATTTTTTTAAAGAGGTGGTTTGACAGTTGAATCAAAAGTTAACATTTCTTTAAATATGCTGGCAAAGAGCGTTGAGGCATCTTTAAAAGTTCTGGCCTATTATAAACCAGACCTATTTTTGCCCACAAAAATCATGGATTTACGCTTTAGAATAAAATTTAAACCTCTTTGTTCTTTTTTTAAGATTTCATGCTACAAAGAGGGAGATCAAAACAGCATCTGTTTCATAAAAAGACTGGTACAACAGGAAAGTTGCACTAATAACCAGCTAACTTTCGCATAATTTTATCTTTTCTGATATTTCTGAAAAAATCTAAACAGCTAAAGTTCCTATGTTTTCTTCAAGGAAAGTGACATCTAGTGGCCAATTATGGTAATAAATGAAAATATCTTGAACCCCAATAAGTTATGGTTGTTAAGCTCTGTTCTCTTAAAGAAGAAATCCTGGATTCTAACCACGGATGCCATTTTGATCGTATCTATATACGGCCAATTTTTTTTTTTTTATTCTGAATTTTCTTTGTTGTTAAAGTTGTAGGGAAGTCATATTTAATATTAAATCATTCTGGCTTAAACATGTATACACATTTGCTCTATCAGACTATATTGTCCCAAAATTTAGAAAATGTCTATAAAAAAAAAAAATAAAAAAAAATCATGTATTAAATTTTTTTAATCTTATGTAGCCCAGTTAGTTAGACGTCAGCTTGTACACCTGAATTTGGCCAATCATATATCAACGGTCATCTGTCAATCAACTTTTTTCGGTCATAGCATCTTGATTCATATGTTGCAGCTAATATAAGCAACGGCTGAAATAAGAATAATTAACTTTATCATTGACTTCTATCCCAGTGTTCACGGGGATGGACGTCTGTGTCTTCGGCAGGCATATAGCTAACAGAACTGGCAGCGTTGTGAGGCAAGGGCTCAAACATGTACGGCTGTAAGCCTTCTACACCAAACTAAGCTTCTGCCGCCCTGGCGTCCTCTTCAACAACTTTGTCCCCGCTTTCCTCCTCTAAAAAAAAAATTGATGACGGAGGAGACTCATCCACGACCTCCGACACAAACCTCTCCTCTTGCATGTTTCCACTGTCCATGGCGTTCCGTGACAGTGTCGTTTCTAAGTCATCAATTTAGTGCTACTTGGTCCCAATGTCATGTCCCATTGGGAACCTACTAGCACTAAATTGCTAACTGGTTAGCAAGATGCTTCCGAGACACCGGCCACAATCAAACTTGCTTGTGAACCTTCCGCCAGAACAATCCTGCCCACTTCCGAATGCTAGCTCAGGAGCATTCGTGACTGCAACCGTTGGAATAGCCGCTTCCCTACGACTTTAATAGGATCTTTCTATAATAATTAGAGCTAAAAAGCTTTTTTTTTTTCTCTTTTTTTACATAATATGCTGATTTAAAAAAATGGTACATCTATAAAGTTTTATAATTTATTCTGCCAACTGTTTTAAATGTTGACTTTAAAAAAAGATATATGCATTACACATTGTTAAACTTGTAAGATACTTCAAAGCAGGAACCTATTGGGTTAAAGAAGATTCTTAAAATACTTAAAATGCTTGTCATTTCTGCATTTATGTTGTATAGCTTTGTAAAACTATCGTTAAAGGATAGGTATGTCATTCTGACATGCTGTCAGAAGTTGACGCCAACTGTGCTTTAGCTTTTTGTTTTTAGTGTAATCCTACAATCAGTGTTAAGGTTTTAGCATTACAGTCAAACTAGTCACTGTTATACTCAACCAGGCTGATATGCTCTGTTTTTTATGAGCATAGCAACCCTTTGAATCACTTGGGTTTCCTTTCTAGCTCATTTCAGGACAGATGCTGAAACATTTATGATAATAGAGAGGATTTGTCGGCATAGTGAGTGTAACAGCCTTGGAAAACTGCTTTTAAACACATTCACCTCCTTATTTGGACACATGCATGAGGGAAGCTTTATGAAAAAGTAAACCCCATTGCATTAAGACTGTCATTGGCTCACCCAGGGGTTAGAGTTAAAAACAAACTACAGCCTTGAAAGCAGAGAACCAGCTTTAAAATAAAATAAAATAAGCCCACTGCTCCCCAAGCAGATGGGTAAAATGCTGAGGTAAATTTCTCCGATGTGAGATCAATAAATTTAAGTTATTATTATTTATTGACACTCATTGAATGTCATTCTATGCTTAGTGTCTGGTCTCCAAATGCCCCGAATGTGCTTAAGAGTACAAGTTTTCTATTTTAGATTTTTGGTGTAATCTGTGTATTTATAGGTACAGTGTTGCAACAGGCAGGTATCATGCTAAACAAGAAATTAAGGGTTCGAAACTGCTTCAAAATATTTCTGTTCCGAGTGTTTTAAACTTCTTATTCAGAAGTAAAGATGCAAGTTATTGATTTGATTAATTGATTTCAAGTTTATTGATAGACTAATTAATTAGCTGCATTTTCTCTGGTATAAATAGGGAAAAATAAGTTTAAACGATTAGCTCATTTTAATTTGTGAATATAGTGGGGGAAAAACTAGATGTGTATCGACAGGAAAGTCATTAGCATAAAGTGAATCTTTATTTTTGGGATGCTATCAAAGTGACCTGAATGTCCCCGAAGGTGCTAGAGAGATTATGAGGCCTTTTAATGACTGGAGTGAACCAAGTGGGTAAACAATATCGTGTGGTTGTTTTAAAAGGAAATGTTTCATGACTGGTGCAAAGCCTCTGCTTGCAATACATGAAGTTTCATGCTTTTGTGCAACATTTTTCAAATCCGTGATGTGTTTGAGACACTGCTATGATAATTACAAGCTTTGAACCACAAAGGAACTACTGGGTTGTACTGTCATTTATGAAGTTTCGTAACATTTAACAACAGTTTTCAAGCTGTAATTTGTCTTAGAACTTTCCTTTGATTGAAAGCAGAAACATTTTTTGACTTTACCATGAACTCCTGAGAAACACAGTGACTCCCTTCTGTAGTTTACGTCTGTGTCAGATAAAGAGCCGGACTAATTTGCTGGTTTCCCACCCGAGGAATGCTGCTGCTGTACTTTTTTTCTTTCTCTCACATGTGGAAATATAACAGGTTTTCCTGGGAGTGGATGATAAGTGAAGATAAATGCTGATGTTTAAATTGATTTTCAGCCTTCTTAAATCACAGTAATGCCAAACTAGAAGACTTTTCTTAATAAGGAGTACTCTGAACTATTTAGTATATTATGCCCTCTGCTGGTTGAAGTGTGAAATGGATGATCAAACTCTTGATGTTCTCTTTCAGGACCTTACATCAGCACTAACAAAGAAAATCACCCTTAAAACCCCGCTCATCTCCTCCCCTATGGACACCGTCACAGAGTCAGCCATGGCAATTGCAATGGCCGTAAGATGCAAAAAAATTGTTTCTTTTTTGGTTGTTATTTATTTAAAATGACAACTTTTTTTTTTTTTTTTTTTAAAGTAAAATGTTTTGTTTTCCCTCTGTAGCTAATGGGAGGGATGGGGTTTATCCATCACAACTGCACACCGGAATTCCAAGCAAATGAAGTCCGGAAAGTCAAGGTAAAAGGATATTTTCTGTTTCTGTCATGGTCCCTGTTTTTATTAGGTCTGAAACAGCTAATCAGGTTAATCGTGATTAATCGATTATTGAAATGGTCGGCAACTAATTTAGTAATCGATTAATCTATGACTGGAGTATAGCCTTTAGCTGACAATTATACCAAAATTGTAGTAAAAAAACACATAAACATTTTGCATTTAAGATTAAACAAGGCAAACAAAAAAAAACCACAAACATCTTCATCTGTCAATGTGCTCTATCCAGAAGTGGAAAAGATTTTACTGCAGCTGGTTTAATTTAATACGTCTTCTTTAAGAAACCTTTTGCTATGCGATTATTAATTGATTTATTGAAAAAATAATTAAAATATTAATCGATTTGCAAAATAATCGTTAGTTGCAGTGCTAATATATAAATATTTGTAACTGCAGAGATTGTTTAGCTTCTACTGTTTTTGTTTCATTAATTTCATCAAAGGAAAAAAATTTAAGCCTCACTTTTGCCTTAACCTATTTTTTTGTCTTATCTTTTTTTATATAGCATATGGTAAATTTCTCTTCTTGTGTGTTTGCATGTGTTTGTTGTTGCAGTGTGTTTTTTTTCCTTTTTGAGTGTTTCTGTTTATTAAGTGAAGCTTTTCTGCTGCTTTTGCTGCTTTACTCACAAAGAAAATATCACTCATTACAGGATAATTAATGATCTTGTTTACTTCTTGTTTTTGTTTTCCAGAGGTTTGAACAGGGCTTTATTACTGACCCAGTTGTAATGAGCCCACGTCAAACTGTCGGAGATGTGTTTGAAGCTAAAGTAAGGCACGGTTTCTCTGGGATTCCTATCACAGAGACGGGTAAAATGGGCAGCAAGCTGGTTGGCATAGTAACCTCTAGAGATATTGACTTCCTCTCTGAGAAAGACCATGGCAAAACTCTAGAGGAGGTAAGTAACCTTAAAGTTCTGGGAGTTTTTTCTAAATAATATTTTAATTCAATACAATAATCATGCTTTTTTTCTTTCAGGCTATGACAAAAAGAGAGGATTTAGTGGTGGCTCCAGCAGGTGTTACGTTGAAGGAAGCCAATGATATTTTGCAGAGAAGCAAAAAAGGTGAATACTAGTTTGTTTTAAACGCTTTTTAAAAGTCCTGCTTGTTGTTTCCTAAATTTTGATCTAATATTTCAGGCAAGCTTCCAATTGTGAATGACAATGATGAGCTGGTGGCCATTATTGCCAGGACTGATCTGAAGAAGAACAGAGACTACCCCCTCGCATCAAAAGACTCACGCAAACAGCTCCTCTGTGGTGCTGCCATCGGCACCCGGGACGATGATAAATACAGACTGGACCTACTGGTGCAAGCTGGGGTAGATGTCATTGTTCTGGTAGGTTTTATTTTTCTATTGCATATAATTGACATTATTTTTTAATGAAAAAAATGTTATATTTCACAACCAAGATGGAGAAAAAAGGACTGTTGTGGAAGAGTGATTAGCATGACCTGCAGCAGTTTGTTCAAGTAGGGACTTGACTTGCTGCAGGGAGAGTTTGTTTTTGTCATCCCCACACTGAGCTAAACCACACAGCACCTCCTGGTGGCCGTTGTTGGTCATTGAGTGACTACACAGTATTTATTTTCTACCTTTAAGAATTAAGGCATCAAAATATTGCAGAAAGCAGAGCAGGTTCTTTGAAAACAATAGTTTATAATTAATTAAAACATCTTAAACATTTCTAAGCCTAACCTATTTTGCTTTTTTCACATCCAGTCCCTGTAACTCTTTGAAAATGTTCTTAACTCTGAATTGAGACTCATTAAAAATAATTGCAGGATCTTTAAAGTCGACTCTTTGTGCTTTATTCTCCACTAACAATCTTATGGTTAAAACAATAATGCCTTCTATAGAAATCAATATCACATTGTTAAAAAGATTGATTGTACCATGACAAATAGGCTGCACTTGTTTGCATTGATGACATGCATGTAACTTCTTTAGGGACAAATTCTGATGATGAAATGCATGTCTTATTATTATTATTATTATTATTATTATAGATACACTGGTGCTTTTTGTTTTGTAAATAAATTAAAATGCTTGAACTATTTTCTATATTCTATTCTATAAAAGAGAAAACAGGATATTATAATCCGTTTTAAGTATCTTTTGGGAAGTGTTGTTTGATTATTAACCTACCATTTTCTTGTGCATTTATAGGACTCTTCACAAGGCAACTCTGTGTATCAGATTGACATGATTAACTACATTAAACAGAAGTATCCTGAAGTACAGGTTGTTGGAGGAAATGGTGAGTTTGATGTTATTAAAAAGAGCCGAGTCCTTCATAACATGTAAAAAGATGGTTTTAATGAAGATGTTCTTGGCAAAGGTAGACATGTTTACTGTTTTACTGCAGTGGTTACAGCAGCCCAGGCCAAGAATCTGATTGATGCTGGTGTGGATGCTCTGAGGGTTGGGATGGGTTGTGGCTCCATTTGCATCACGCAGGAAGGTAAGATGGCAGTGCAGCAGTGAGATGTTTGCTAAAACAATAGAACTGCAGTCCAATATGGCGTTATATTCTTCCCTAAACCATTTTCTCCTTTTTTTTTGTAGTGATGGCCTGTGGACGACCTCAGGGAACCTCTGTGTACAAAGTAGCTGAGTACGCAAGGCGTTTTGGAGTACCAGTGATTGCAGACGGTGGTATTCAGACCGTGGGCCACGTGGTGAAGGCTTTGTCTTTAGGAGCATCAACCGGTAAGACCAAAAAGTTTAGATGGATAGTTATGTGCAGTGATGTTAGTTAATGGAGTGCTGCATTTTTAAATAACTGTTTTTATAGCTTGTGTGAAACTTTTGACTGTCTGCAACAGTTATGATGGGCTCCCTGCTAGCTGCGACCACTGAGGCTCCTGGAGAGTACTTCTTCTCAGACGGTGTGCGGCTGAAGAAATATCGGGGTATGGGCTCTCTGGATGCCATGGAGAAAAGTACCAGCAGCCAGAAGCGGTACTTTAGGTGAGTGCTTAAAAGTCAGGAGTACGAACATCACATTTAAGTTACCTGGATATTAAGTAGCTGATATTGTCTCTGCAGTGAGGGGGACAAGGTGAAGGTAGCTCAAGGCGTGTCAGGCTCAGTCCAGGACAAAGGATCCATCCACAAGTTTGTACCATACCTCATAGCTGGAATCCAGCATGGCTGCCAGGACATCGGAGCAAAGAGCCTGTCTGTCCTTCGGTGGGTTTCCTGTTTTATGTGGTTTATTTTTGTAAGATTTTTGTTCACCATATGAAAGAATTTTGTTTGTTCTCAGATCCATGATGTATTCTGGGGAGCTGAAGTTTGAGAAGCGAACCATGTCTGCACAGGTGGAGGGAGGGGTTCATGGACTACACTCGTGAGTTGCTAAAAGATTAGAACTGAATATTTATGATAACTGCAAACTAAACGCTGCCTTTTGATTTCCTTTGCTTTCACAGATATGAGAAACGACTCTACTAAATGGACCGAAGTCTGAACTAGTTCCAATATGACAGTGACCAAAAGTTGAAAGACCTCTGCCAAAATTTGTGTTACACCCTCTGCTTCCTCTGCGTTGTGCACATTTCCTCACTGATCACAAACAGCTGATTTGGAGAGGAGGGCTGCATCGTAGCAAACGGAGAATCTTCAAACCCACACTGATTCCCCTCGGACTTTGCTCTTAATAAGTGGCGCATCAGGGTTAGATTTTTTTTTTTCTTTTTTGTATCAAAAGTATGCAGCCCTAAACCAGGTTAGTGTGCATGGGCTGACAGTTGTGAAAGAGACAGCAGTGTGATTACAGTGTAGTAGGGACAGAGTGAAGGTGCACTGTGTTGTATTCGTCCCATCAGAACCAGCCGTGGTGCAGATCGGCCGCATCTTTCGCACTCGTTTGGCTTTCCATGCACACCAGCAAACATAGTCGGAAAGTTAACTCATCCCATTTCAACAAGACACCGATGTTTGCAGAATACAAGACAACACATCTCTCTTTGTACCCTGTGAAAGTCTAACTGCAGTTATTTTCCAAATACTATCTTTAGGTCATAACAGATGTATGCTGCTTATATTCCAGCACATGTTGTTTACTTGGTGTATTGTGCATTCTTACAGTTGAGACGTTTGTCATCATTGTTAATCAAATCAGAATAGTGGACAGATCTGCAATGTTTGTCCCACTTTGGAGATTGATGCTGAGCCAAATAACCAGTGCCCCATCTCAGTGTTGTTGGTATATTTTACATGGAAGGGACCAAAAGCTAATGAGTATCAGTTATGTTTAGGTTTAGGATATGTTTAATGGGTCAGCCGTAAACCTTTAGGCAAAGTGATTATTTCCGTGTTTGTAATCAGAATATTTTTCACAGAAAAACTTTCTAATAAAAGTGCTTAGTCCTGGCGACTTTGAATTGATCTGAAGGGGTTTTTTGATAATGCATGTTTTTTTTTTTTCACTTAGCCACGTTTGGCTGTAATTATATTCTGCTAAGATTATAAACATACTGCCAAGTGGATTTACACTTCTGTTTTAAACCTTAAAAAGCAAAACTGGTGCAGCAATTTGCTTATCTTGTTTGTTTCTTCCTGGTCAGGCATAAATGATGCATTTTTTTCCCTTTGTTCACCAGAGGTATGCCTTGAAACAGATGGACTCATGATGACTCAGTGCATAAAGCAAACCTAACACATTTTTTATATTTAAATTTTTTCAGTTGATGAAGGTTAAAAAAAACAACAACTTGTTTTCAGTTTCCACATTTAAGACCGGTTATTTATACAATATCTAATGATCAAGTACTGGGTCTTGTCAGTCCATCCAGAAAGCACAGCTAATGTTTTATCAATGTTTCTCCTTTGTATACGTTTTAATCTGTCAACAGTTGCTACAACAATGTGGTACTTTTTGCAATCAAAAAAACCAAATACCCTAAAAAAAAAAAAAAAAATTCTTTTAAACTGATGGGGAAAGACTTAGTTGATCCGTCAGGGATTTTTGAAGGATATGTTTACAGTAAAACACCCAAAAGAGGAAAGTTGTTTTTGCTGTTTAATATGTCAAATAAATACATAATACTGTGCATGAGCTCCTGTTTTTTTTGTGTGTGTTGTATTGTATGAGATGAATGTTAAACTTTAATAACATGAAAGGAACATAAAAGTCAAGATAAATTAATGAAAGGAGGAGACTGTATTGTGCAATGGTGGGAAAAAAAGTACAGATTTATTTACTTATTTTTTTCCAACAATTTGTTTTTGCTTTTCTAAAAATATCTGACAGACAACCACAACCAGGCAATTTATAGGTGTATTTGATTAAAAAAAAACAACTACCTACACCTCTCTATGTATTATGATTTAAAAAATTAACCCAATTCTTGATTTACACTTTTATACCCATACATAGGTCAGATCTATGATGGGTCTCTAAAATGAAGAAATCAGTTAATTGGATAATATGAAGAGGCCCCACATTTATCTAAAGCAATAATAAACCATGTGAGAATTTATTTTATATATTAACAATTACTTGACAAAAAGACTGTGGTTAATTATGCACCTCAATGTACCAACATTAGAGATGATTAGTACAGAATTCATGCTCTTTCAGAAATAGATTTTGTGTCATATGCGATAAAGAGAAAATGATGTGTCTGCAAGACATCTTAAGAGTCTTCAGTGAAATCATAGATACTGTAAACTATTTTAATAAAAACCTATTAAATTATCAATTTATGTATATTGATATTGATGTTTAAATATATGCATCTATTTGTTAGCATAGGGCTGTAGGAAAATATGGTTTGTCTTTATTTAGAAATGTGGATATTGTGCTTGTTCCTGTTGGAACTGTGTAGATTGATCTTGAGGATCTGGAGCCTATCCACTTTTGGCCACCCCTCACCCTTATAAAAATTTTCTAAAGCACTGCAAGCTGCACCTTCCTCAGTAAATATTAGCGTCGATGCATTGGTTTTAAAAGTCAAGCGCAAAAAACACGGGGGCCCATCTAAAATCTGAAGAAAAAAAAACCCATCCTGATGTTAAGGGGAAATATCCCTTTAATTGGCGCTGCTTTCCAGGCTGATGCTTGGTAACCAGGCTTGAAGGGGGCTCCAGAGGGTCGACCAACCTTGCCAACAAATCGCCAAAAATAAGAGCAATTTTCAACGACAGCGGTCGACCTGTGCAGAATCCCTTAAAGGGGCCACAACTTTCCTACACTAATTAACTGACGCAGGTGTGGCTCCTTACCGTAATACAGTATAGAAAAGCGGCTGAAATAATCTGGATGTTTTGACACTGGTAAGTAGCCTTAAAAGGGGCTTAAAAAAGAAAAGCAAGAATGTGAGCTAATTAGATTTGAACGCTCAACGTTACGATGCTTCTTTAATGTGGAAGAAATTTTACTGTGGAAGTTTGCTCTGCATTTTATTCTACATTATAGAATTAAGCATATATTCTGTAGTTCTTGTTAAACTGTAGTGATGTAGGCTTCACCACATGATACTATGGAGTTATTTTTGCATTTTTATTAAATAAAAAATTAATATATATATATATATATATATATATATGAAAGAACAAAATGGTTCACACTAATGGAAATTTTTTTTATTTTAGAGTGAAGAAAAAGTTTTGAGAGAAAATATTTTGTCATAGGAAAGTTGCATTTGGAAAATATTTTAAGGTAAAATGGCTCTATATTTTACTCTCAAATATTGATTTATTTTTTTGTGTGCAAACATTTTCTCTGAATTTTCTATGTGAAAAATGTGTCATGGGCGGGCCTGTTTTCCTATTGGCCAGTTTCAAGAACATTGACAGCTGATTGGTGATATTAGGTGAGAAGGTTGTTCTGCCTCTGTCTTTAATCATGAGGAAACTGGAGTTATTTTTGGATTTGTATTAAATTGAAAAATTAAATAGAAAAAGTGGAAAATAATTTTGAAAGTACAATAAATGGATTAAAGAGAACAAACTGAATTCCTTTTCCTAGTACATTGAGATTTCAGTCAAAACAGCAATAAAATCAAATCCTAGTTAATCACGAGAAGGATTGCAGTCATTATCTACTAAATGAGAGTTAATGTTGCTGTCATTGACTGTGTTTGCAGACTCCTCGGATGAAGCTATATTATTACTATAGTGTTTACAAACATGAGTCCGGATCCTAGCCAGTTGGATCTTGTAGGTTTCCTTTTAGACTTTATGGTTTATAAACTTTTCTAGTTTTCATACATCCACATTCTGTTATCACCACTCAGCTGTCAGTTCTGTTAAGGCTGGCCAATAGAAATACAGGGTCGCCCATGACACATTTTTCACTCTGGGAGAGAATTACTGAATCCAGAGCAAAGACTTTGGTTTTGAAATCCTTTTTTCAGACAAAATATTTTCAGTCTGGTTGCAAAAAAATAAAATAAAATAATAATAATTAAAAAAAAAACATTGAGAGTTAAAAGTATACTTTTGAGAAAAATTTTTCCCTTAAATGCAATTTTTCAAATGTCAATGTATCTTTCATTTATTAAATGACAACTCATTTTCTCTCAATATTTTTTCTTCAGTCTTAAATAACATCGGTTTTTGCTATCAGTGTGATTGTTTTTCTCTTCAGTATATTTATCTTACATTTAGAACTTTTTTTATATATTTCATAGAAATATCAAATTAAAAGACTATATAAAAAAATTATTTTTAAAATGAATACATTCATTTTATTTTTATTTCTTTTTGGGTTCTCAAGGCATCTCAGCCTGCTAAATGCTGCATATGCAAGCAGGCTTTATTAAATAGACTAAATAAGCTGCTCTGACATAAGAACTAAGCTACTCTCTAAACCCATTAAAAAAAATCACTATCAAGTTAGTTTAGAATAAAAACATTTGTAAATCTAAGAGTGCATATGGATTAATTAAACCATGGGTCTTTAAAAATTATGTATCAGTCTAGGCTTCCAGAACAATGAAACTCACCGGTTTGTAGCAGCCCTGCTATCCAACATACACACAGCTCAAGCTGCACCTGTTCACAGCATAGTGCAAAGATTTGTTTTTGCTCCGATCAGTCAGGTTTGGTCCAGTCAGCGCAGACAGGAAAGAAAATCCCTTATTCAGATATCTAAATCCATATCTTAACGCTTTTTTTTTTTTTTTTTCACTTTTTATGGCTAAGTGTCCAAATGACAAACAATAACCAAGAAAGCGTAAATTGATGACAGACTACTTATTAAATACACTTCCTTCTCTCTTTATCTTTCTCACTTCCATTTGAAACAACCCCTTCTTTTATTCTCTCTCATTTATTCCCGGTAGCCTACTATTACTCTCACAGGTGCAGGCTCGGCCTGGTAATCTGTGATACCGGGCATTAGCCCGGTGTGCTGGTCCTAATTTCAGCGTGTGAGGGCCGGCCCTCCTTAAATCATACCGGCCCCAACACTTACTCTCCTGGCCGAAGCTCCTACCTGTGACAGTAAATAACTCAAGAAGCTCAAGAAGGAATACAATGTTAGCTACCTAAATGGTGCATGCAGTATATATAGCCCTTCCTTGCTATGCACATCTTTGTTACGGTTGGCATATGGTGTAATTTTCTATTTCTTCAAACTGTAAAATCCTATTTATGACATAAATGGGCTGGTGTAGATGAAAAAATGCCAGGGCCAAAAATCATTCCCAGTCCGAGCAGATGGGGTAACCCTCAGGCGGGTTACCCTGGTTACCATGATTGTGGCTGACGAATCATACACTTCTATTCAGCTTTTGTTTTTTTTATATTTAAGTATCAGCAACAGCGAGTGTGTTATTGGTTATTGGCTACTATATATGTATAAGACCGCATAGGCCCTTTGTGGACTTTGGCCCCCTGGGCCTCAGCCAATAACGTCCATTGGATAATCTGTCCTTGGGTGCAGTCCTTTGTAGCCTACTGGAATCATGTTGAATAATACTTAATAATAAAGGAATCTCTATTTATACATCTTCATACATTTTTATTAGTTATATTGGTGCAGTAAGGCTGATGGATATATTACCAAGGATTGTAAGATGACAGCATAAAGACAAAGGTCTTATTTGTGTATGCAAAATATATTTTATTAACCTTTTAAGGATTCTTATTTAAGTTTCTTGCCCAAGGATTGTAAGACTGGATGCTTTCTCCAATTTCCCTATTGCCATTGTTAATTGATTGCAGCACATGTTATAATAGCTTTTTTTTTTAACACACCATGTTTTTATGTTTCAAAGTACTTCAACCTCCAGGGGGCAGTTGAAATGGAAAACGATGGATATTGTATTTCCTGCCTCCTAAACCAAGAAAGAACACCAATAAAGTAAAGGTCTTCAACTGATTATATGGATATATGTAAGTTCTCAACTATTTCACTTAAATTTGAACTGACCCACATGCAGAATTTTGCCCAGTGCCCAAATAGACTATGATCAATTTAAGTGGGTCATGTTGCATCTGACATACAACGGGTAAAATAAGTATGTACATGCTACCATTTATCTCTGTAAACATGTTTCTAGAGGAGCTGTTGATATGACATTTTCACCAGATGTTGGTAACAATCCATGCAATCCACACATACAAAGAAATCAAACCATAGATGTCCGGTGATTTAGTTGTGTGTATTAATGTGGAATGCCACAGGGAAAAGTATTGAAAACATGAAGAAAGGGAGTTGCAAAAAGCATGGAAAGCAAAGACACCAGCCGAAATCTCTCAGTAATTAAAAAGCAATCCTGTCCCTTGTCAGTGCAAAGTAAAATTAGGTTGTTAAGTCCCAAATGATGGCCTATAAAAATGTGTCTCTTATATCATACAGGAAACATTTCATGATGAGTAAAAGTGAAGAGCTTTTTCTAAGACCTTGGCAACCCTATTGTTACAAATCATAATGATGGCATTGGTTACAGAAGGATTTCTAAACTTCTGAATGTTTCAGTGAGCACGTTTGGGACCATAATCCAAAAGTGGAAAGAACATAATTTCACCATAAACCGACCTTGAACAGGTGCTTCTCACAAGATTTCTGACAGAGGAGTGGAAGAATTTTATCAGAAGAGTTTTCCAAGAGCCAAAGTTTGCTGCACAACATTTAGACAAGCGTGTGAAATACTGGGAGGATATAGTCTGGTCAGATGAGACCTAAATTTATCTCTTTGAATGCCACAATACACCATACCAACAGTGTAGTTTTGTAGGTGGGAACATTATGGTTTGGCCCTGTTTTTCAGCATGTAGTACTGGCAAACTTCAAATAAGTGAAGGAGGGATGAATGGAAAAATGTACAGAGACATTCTAAATAAAAATCTGCTGCCATCTACCCGGATGATGAAGATGAAACGTGGGTGTACATTTCAGCTACAGGATGACTTCAAACACAGCCAAGGAAACTCTGTTGGTTTCAGAGAGAGAAAATAAGGTTGCTAGAATAGCGCAGCCAATCACCTGGCAATAGGAAATCTATGAAAAGACCTAAAGATCAGAGTTCATAGAGGAGACCCATGAAAACGTCAAGATTTGAAGACTGTTTGTGTGGAGGAATGGGCCATAACCACACCTGAGCAATGCGTGCGACAAATTTCTCCATAATGCAGGAGTCTTAAAGCTAACATTGCCAACAAAGACTTTTGTGCAAAGTATTAAATAAATTTCAGTAAGTGAGTTCAATACATTTCCCCTGTGTAATTTCCCTTTATTACACATAACTTGCATTCTGGACATCTATGGTTTGATTTCTTTGTATGTGTGCATTGCATGGATTGTTACCAACATCTGATGAAAATATGTCAATAGTACCTCTAGAAATATATTTCCTTAGAAAAATGGTGTGTTCAGCACTTATTTTACCTACTATATAGTGCATAATTTCACGAGTCAAACATTTGGGTGGTAGTAGGCTGATCTGGGCTTGCCTTGCTACTTTACAGCTTGCCATAATTAGTGGAACAGGGGGATTTGGCCCTCTAACAGAAAATTGTAAAAGTGAAAGTCCAGCCACTTGGTTATCGCCTTAGGTTCAAGATCCATTAGGTATATCAGAACAGTGATCAGAAACAAGCAAGCAATTTCACACCTAAGAGGCTCAAAAAAGGGGGGGAAAAAGCTTGACTGCAGCTGTTTCCCCCAGGAATGGTCAGTTATATGGTTTTCTTTTCAATCACACAAAGGGCTGTTTTGGTTTTGAAAAGTCTGTATTCCTTGATTAATAAACTCCTTTTTTCAATGATCTGTTTTAATATTTTCATATATTCAAAGTTGTTTATTTATATAAAAAACTGTGTGGGGAAAAAAAGCAAAAAACAAAACTGGTCTGTAATTAGGCACACAATATTCACAGCAATGAATTGAAACAAATGCTTGATATACTGCACTTTACCAGCAGAGGGCACCGATCTGCTATGACTTTAAGAAATATGTAGTTATGAGGTGCTTATGTTTTGAAAAAAAACAAAAAACTTAACAAACTTAAACATCCAGACTAAGGATTAGCTATAATAACTGGAGACCTATGTAGCTTATTACAACAGTAGCAGTTAAGAGTCTATATCTGTCACAGTACAACTTACTGGAATGTTGGAATGCCATAAAAACATTTGTACAAATAACTTCTTGTTGTATTTCCACTTAGTAAAACTAACCCTTATTATAACACACAGCATCTGCTTTTATCAGACATGTAAAATGTACAAATATTCTCTTGGCTTTTGACAGTCTTGGCACTTAGACTATCAGGAACATTCACTCAATATTTAAAAAGTATCATTAAGCCTCCTGAAACACTTTAGCATATAAAGTTTTTTAAATGTATGTAAAGCTGACATGCATTATTAAATACCATTTAAAATTTCAGTTGGTTTGCTGTAAAAAGCAGTCTGTTTTTATAAATCTATAGTCTCACTGCAGATGCTTAAAGAATCCATTTGTCTGCAAACTGTGATGAATTCTTGCTGCACAGATCGATCTGTCTCAGTTGACAGGTTTAGGCTTTCCTGTGAGGCAGCTCCCAGGGCTTGGTATTTTTTCTGTGGGTTATGGGATGCCATATCTGAGCCTCCTTCCTGCGGAAGCTGCCGTGTATGTCTCTCAGTATTTGGGCAAAGAACCAGGGAGGAGCCAGCAAAAGAGGAACTACCCTTCCAATGTTCAGGGGATGAACCACTGGAGGATGAGACCATGGAGGGAGATACTGGAATACCCCCTGTGGCTACACCTTGACACTGGTTGGAAGGGAACTGTGGGTCAGAGGTCATTTCTAAGCAAGATGAGGTTCGATAAAGACTGGATTCAGTAAAGAGAGAACCACATGGGCCACTGCCGGAGAGTGCCCAATGGTCTTTTACAGATGTGTCACTGGAGCAAATGGGTTTAGCAGGGCTGAAGAGGCTCATGGGAAACAATGCCTCGCTGAAGAGTGCCTCATCTATGCTACGCCGCAAGTTGATTGGTGAAGGGGGCCGCAGGTCTGCAGTGGAGTCGCTTGTAAATGACGATCCACCTGAAGGTTCTCTGCCTTCCACATCCTCAGGTTTTTTGGAACCCAGTAACCCTAAATCCAAGTCGAGGTCTCGATAGGCTAAAGCCCGGTTGCTATGGTAGAGTAGGTCCAAGCCGTTCAGGCTGCTACCAAGCCTCTCATCCATCAAAGTGTACAGTGGAAGGTTCTCTGTCTCACCAAGCCCAACTGTGTCAACGATAGCAAGCTTCTCCTGCTGGCTGAGCGTCCACTGGTAGGTCCCAGGCAGGATTGGGGATTTGGTTGCTAGTAGTTCAGTCCAACAACTTCCAGCTGCTGGAAGCTGATCGGAACAAAAAACTGGTTGGGCAACCACCAAAGCTAATGTGAGACAAACGCCAAGCTCGCATATTCTACAGCTAAACTGAAAAGCCCACCAGGGCCAAGGATAAAAGACTTCCTCTCCACCTATAACACCTATAGCATTAAGCATTGCATATAACTGTAGTCCTGCACATGCCAAAGAAAACAATGCTGACAAGCAAACTGTTACAGCTGCGCGATTCCAGTCTTTGCTCTCTGCAAATGGGCAGCGGTTGTAGCGTTCAGCAGGTGTTGGAGATGTGTTGTTTAAATGATATATGTGCTTTGAGTCAGCCCGGACATAGACATAGAAAACAAAATAGGCAGCAGATAGAAATGTTGCGAGTGCCACAAAGGCTCCACGAGAGATCAATGACAGAAAGAGGCACAAAGGAGGCTTTTGCTGGTAGAACTTTAAGAAAGTCACTGGACCAAATGCAGCAGCAAAGTGCAAGACGACCAGGCAGGCTAGGAAACAGGGTCTCTGGAAGGCTGAATAGGAGAGCTGCATTCTTGAACGCATTGAGAGGAGAAGAAAAACCAAACCGAAAGCTGCAGTAAGGCAGGGAAAAGGTGCTTCGTACAGCATGAGCGAGGCCTCTGTGGAGGATATGCGATCATGGTGACCATAGGCGTCATACAGCAGAGAAAATGATCTTGTGCATCCAGCAGCTAGAAGGAACAGGCTAACCAAAGCAAAGTAGCCGCACCCTGATGGACATCTCAGCGGCAAACAAAGCAGATTTAGTGCAGAGGCAAGCGTTAACACTGCAAAGATTCCACCTGCACCGTAGACATGTGCCTCCCATGCCAAGCCCCAGGTCGCAATGGCACTGTTCCAGTCTGTGTACAAGGGCACTAGCATTGGTGCAGGTGGGATTAAAAAAGGGTTGGTTGAGTGATTTGTGGCAGTAATATTTTGTGTTGGCTTCATGCTCATGGTAGTAGTGGCATCCCAGGTGTAGGAGAGGTTGCAGATACCAGAGCCTTCTTTATTGCAGTCAGGAAGTAAGGTGCTGTCACTGCTTGGTATGTCAGATATCCACTCTTCGTCATACAGACGTATAGATGGAGATTCAGAGGAAATACCTGCAACAAAGAAAGAATCATATAATCTAATTTACTTTGCATATCTGATAGAAATCACATGACTTTGACAGTCATAAATTAAGAAGACAAGACACGAACAGGCATCCTTTACAACAGTAGAAGTTATCTTCAGCAACATTTAGAAACTTATGAGAATGAAAACATGAAAATATATCTTGAATAATCAACAAATCTGCTTACATCCACAATACAAAAATAATAAGCCCTTAATGTGCTGATCCTGTGGAAAAGCTTGGGAGTAGACAACTTCAAATAGAGCTAAGCCTGGACAAGTGTGTGTTTTTGTGTGTGCCTTCACACAACCACAGAGCTACTTTTTCCTGCATTACATAAGCCATCTGGACTTTCCATGTAACTTATGATTGTGTTAGTCATGTTTTGGAACTACAAAGGAAGTAATTTAGCTTTGAGGATTAGGGAGTAACCATGTCTATAATTGTTTCTATGAAATTTGCAGAGAGGCATGCATAGCGGATCTTTATTGTATTTGTTTATGTGGTTGCATTACTGGATGTAAACCAGTTAGTTCACATGGAAAGCGTGTCTGTTTCCTAGTTCAAAAATACTGAGCTCCACAATGTGTGCCTGTCTTGTTCATTATAATCATTGTTAAGTGCATGCTAGCTTTTAATGCTAGTGCAACACAAGGAGGACCAGCCTCTCGGGTGTACACACACACTTTAGTCATTAGGCTTCTGGATCATCAGAGGCAAAAACACCTTCATGAACAGCATGGCACCATTATAAACACCAGTGACAAATAGACAGTTTAAACTGTTAGTTCAGTTAAACCGACACTAACTTTTCAATTTAACTTTTGTGATTATACGTCGTCGTACAACTAGTTGAATGACACCTCTGTCATGGCCTGAGGGGATTTGTATCACTTTCACTGCAACTTTAAGGAGGTTGGTATCGACCCTACCACTCAAAACAACTACAAATGTGCAGATTGTTTTATGGCATACGTCACTTTCCCCCTTTCCCCATTTGTGACAAAGATGGAAGATCATGCGACTAAATTTCCCTGAGTGACTTTTGGTGTGTTCGGATCTGGCAGTGGCGTCTTCATAGCCTTTTCGGCCTGTTCAGATTGGAAGACTCATTATGCGGATGACAAATGCAGCCTTCTTTTTGCCAGTTTTGAAGGACGGGCCTTGTGAGCCGGCTGCTGTACTCAGGAAAAAAAGGAAATTGCAATGAACCATGTTAACTAATGTATGTGCGTTTTAATGTAATACAAATATGTGAATAGTTCCATAAAAAAATAATGAAAATAATTGTTTTTAAATGGTTAGTGAGTCATATGTGGCAGGTAATGATTGGTTTATTAAAAGGTTTTATCTGTACCTGTGCAAATGGATTTGGCTGACATTTAAGCACAGATGCCAAAATATGATATCTTCAACAACGGTATTGCAGCTGAAGCTCCTCCACAATGTTATTAGCACACAGAACAGTAGTAAGTAGTAGTTTGGCATCTTTCTTTGCCTTTTTTGTGTGTCAGCTGTCATATTTGGTAGGCAACACAGTGTACTGCTGAGTGAGGGGCGGTGGAGGGCAGAGAAGGCTGGACTTGTTTGAATCCACTGGCAAGCCTGGTGCAGTATTATGGTACAAAAGCAAAGTTAAATGTCTTGTATTTTCAACAGCGTCTTATGTATTTGTTTCGGCACACTTTGATTCATTACCTCATCACTATTCATCTTTCACACAGCCACTGGAAACAAAAATGTACGTAGTTAAATCCAGCTGCAGGCGACTAGGAGATTAGAATTACCATGCACTGCGCGGCACCTCATGGGAAATGCTATCTTCCCTGAGGCAAAACAATACAAGTTTTGTCCACTGGGGGAGTCAAAATTGACCAAAACTGAAAGTTCTTTACACATGCTTAAATCAGAGTAAATGATAGAATATTAGCATTTTGCTATTTATTGTTCCATTTCAATATTTTGTTTCTTATTTGTATATGTAGCTACATGAGTTTATATGAAATATAGAAACAATTTGTAAATTTGCTCTTGAAAAAACCTAGAGAATGCAGAAAGTCTCTATATAAATTGATGTTTCTCAAAGGGAAAAAAAAATTCTCTAGTTTTTAATTATTATTTCAGGCATTTAGTTTTATAAGATATATACTTTGTTTCTTATATTCTTATGTTGCCCTAATTTCCTACTGTTGGTTATTGTCCCTTAAAAATGCCTGCATTAAAAAGGAAACACCCATGTGTGGGTCTAGTATTTCTAAACCTTTTTTCAGCAAATTAAACTATTCTATTTTATAGGCCATAAGTTTCCAAGTTGTTTCAGGTTTTTCATAAAATCTGCTTTGCTGCCTTGTTTGTTCTGTTATGTCAACATGTCTTGAGCTGCAGGGCTAGAAAGAAAAGATGAGAGGGATCTTTTAATATACCTTTATTATTGCTGAGAGGTTAAAAACCTCTCGGCAACCTTCATGTAACAGCAGTAAGGGAAAATAATCTTCACCAAAATGATTTAACACTTTTTAAAAACACTTGCACTCCTCTCTTTCTTCTGTTTTCCAGATGTCTGTACAATTTTTTTGTGACCTTAGAGTTGCATACAGGTGCCAGGCTTGGATGAGAATGTCAAGCTTGAAGAAAAATGACCCCACGGAGTGCTACAAGTGCGTATGGCAGCGTGATTCAGCAGCTTTACTTCAGAGTGCCCTGTAATGTTTTAGGCCTCATCATATCCCTAAGAGGAGCATAAACCGTTAGGTGTTGTTTAATACTGTCTAATAAGTTTTCTAACAAAATGCTGTCATAAGGACTTTTTGTGTGCATGTTTCCATAATCATCTTTTCTGCAAAACATCGTCTTAAAATGGCAAAGAGAACCGAGATCTGTAAGCACTTAGCAGAGTATCTGAATGAATTACATTCATAACTTGGCACTACATCACATGTTTTACTTCAACAGTACAAACACGTACGTCCTGGAAATGTTGCTATGCAGTAGCTGTAGCTGTATAGGAAATTTGTCCAAAGTGTTAAATAAAACATGGAGCTGCAGATATTTCAAATGAAGGGAGAGCAGATAAAGTAGGTGGGGTCCATGACAGTGTGACATCAGTGATTTGTCTGGCCAGTTGTTTACTTTTCAGGGAAATGGCTTAGAAGCCAGTGAGTCAGACCAACTGGAAACAGTGATGGGTGTTGAAATTAGGCCCATGTTTTTCTTTTGCTCTTGTCAGTTGATGTCACATGTAATTTGTGTGCTTGCTGTGAGGGTGCCTATGGTACACTGACAGATAAGAGCATGACTTTCCACTTCATGCTGCTTGGTTATCCGACACATTCCTGACTTAACAAGTCTCTTGGGTTAAGCTAAGTTGGCACATCAGAAGGAGACAGAAAAAAAGAACCAGAATGAATACCAAAAGAATAAAACTAAAAAGATGCTTAAATGTGAGCTATTGTTTATCCCCCGAATTGCATCTTCCCAACACAAATTGTACATGTGCCATAAACTACTACACCTTAAACCTTTCATATTCTGTTGTATAATGACTACAACTCCAATTAGAATGCATGTTATAAAACAACACAATGCATAAACTATTAAAAATGGGGAAAAAGATTAATAAAATACCCTTTTAAATAGACTGAAATCTGAAAACTGTGTAATGTTTGTATGTTCAGAGTTCAAAGTCTAGTTACAGCTGCAGATTTTGGGGGTCTGCCTCTACTGGCCTTTAACATTTAAATAATTATTATGCTGAATCAGATTAGATATAGATTTTCTGTTAATACCAATTTAGGGGTGGTGTTAGTGGAATTTGGGTTGCTGTCCTGCTAAAAGCTGAACATACACCCCATTCTCAAGACAACTGCAAATTCTGTCGACCTAAACTTTCATGGATCTTTTCTTTAACTGGCTTCAGTTTACCTACCAAAAAAAAAATATATATTTTCAGATTATTTTCAGCATATTAAACAAAAGGTTTAATTTTATTACACTTGTCTGCTATGTCCTTTTTCTTTTCATTTTAACAAGTTTTTCCAATAACTGGAATATTAGTTATGCCACCAAAAGATATTCCCTCTTGAACTGTGGATCCCCTCTAGAGTTATTAATGTCTTGACCTCTTCCCTGGATAGTGCTTTTCATGCTCTACTTGTATGTTTGAGTGAACAGGCAGCCTTGTCTTGCTACGCTTACAGATGTTTCATAATCTTTTCGCATTTGGAGTTATGCAAAGTTTAAAATATTATTTTAATATTATGAAAAAAATATTTTATAATAATGCATTTAGGATGAATATTAAACTAAGTAGCGAAAAGATAGTAGTATTTCCCTATTTACTGCAAATAATTTTGAGAGTTAAGTGTTAATGAGGGCCTTTATCACTTTATCTGATTTCTGCAGTAGATTCAGAAGGTGTATTTTGAATTAAGCCATTATTAACAAGAAAAACCTCTGCCAAGCAGCAAATTTTGCCTCATATTTTGCCTTTACACCTACAGTATAGCTTAAACTTGCATGTCTGGATCATGACTTTTGGAGTCCAGTGCTGAGGCAGCAAATAGTCACTGCTGCCAGCGTCTGGTTTAGGGGGAATTTAAGAATCCTTAAAAAAGTCCTGTATCTGGATTATGGTCTGGATTATCACCAAAATTTAAAGGGGTCGTAGAATGCAAAACAGGTTTACTTTGTCATACAGGAATAACAATAGTTCAGTGTCACCCACTGGAATTGGGGTACATGGACGTACAGAGAAGTTCAAACCCCATCGACATCTCCTTTCTCTGCAAATCTCACAATTCTAAACTTCCACCATAAAACGGGTGAATCCAAAGGATTTGCTTTATTTGGTTCTGGCCTGTACTTTTGTCACGCCCCGAAATTGATATACAGATGAAAAGTAGGACATGTCTGGGAAAAAGAGGACGTCTGATCACCCTACCATATCAACAATTTGATCTTTCAGTGAGTGAGTGCTTGTTGCTATGATCCCTCTTTGCTCAGCAGCTTCGCTCGTTGTAAACCAACCAATCAGAGCACAGCTCATCTAAATATTCATCAGCATACCATAAAAGCAAGATAACCTGTCGTTTCATTCTAGGGCTTTTAACCAGGCTTGCATTAGGGCTCATAGATCAGCAAACATGCCAGTTTTCAGCCTAATCAATGTTACACACCCTATTCAGAGACCTTAAGAACGAGCAGCAAACACCCTATAGAATCATTCTATGACCCCTTTAATAGATTGTCTCTTGGCATGAGGTGCAGCGCTAGTAAAAACCTCATTAAGATCCGTTCATAACTTTTCAAGTTATCCTGTACACAGCTAGACAGAGAGACAGAGAAACACAAACCCTCCTAAAAACATAACCTCCTTGGCAGAAGTAATGAAGGCTAACAGCATAATATGCCAAAAGAAATCCACAGTGGTGCACAGGGTTTGTTTTAATGTCTTTCATTCCTCCCTTCTAAAGACTGCAACGTCTCACTTGAGGAACCTAACCTGTAAACTAATAAAGGCCTAACGCTCTTTATTGTCAAAGGACTACAAAACCCAGAACAATTTCAAATAGGCTGCAAGCTGATTATGCATCATAAAATTAAAGGCTCTAAGCCGGGAGGTGCTTGTTGTCTTTTTTCATCACATCCACTTGTGAAAAGGCAATTAAGACAAAGCTCTGAGGGAAGGTGTTTTAAACTTTATGAGAAGGACAAGTTTACATGAGGGGAATTGCAAAACAGCTTTTTGGGCTGTTTATAAAGCAAAAAGGAACTGCAAATTTGTTTCATCAGTCTCTTTTGGTTTATCCAGAAATTAATAAATGGACTCAATTACAACAACTGTTTTTTTTTTATTTCTCTCACTTTTCCCGTAGCAAATTAAATAGTACATGACCTTCCATCATTTACCCATTGAAAGTTTGACAGTTCTATTTTTGAAAATGACTTTACATCATCTGCTATTTTAGGTAAGGTAATGTAGGTTACATCTGCTGCTGTGAACTGGGCCAAATGTGGATTCATTCAAAAACATAACAGAATGGGAATAAGCTTCATGATTATGAATATTTCCAAATTCATCTGCAAATTATACAGGCTTTATCTGAATATTAACATATTTATATATGTTTTTAGAGTATGTCAGCACTTTTACCTCACCTTTTATACTCTGCTAGCAGACATCATATGGATGACAATGACCTCTCTTACAAAACAATAACTATGCATGCCATTGAAGCTACTATGGCCCCTAAAGGAAATGAAAATATAGAAAATCATAGCAAGAGTGAAAAACAACATTTATTTTAGTACTTAGAGATTGTTTTAATCTTTTCTTATCTGTGTAAATAATAGTTTGTAATCAACGTTTTATAAAATCTGCTTAATTTTCAGACACTGTGGAAATATACTGTTTGAGCTCTCCACTGCAATACTATGAAGCCTCTGCAGATGCAAACTGAAATATTGGATGTATTACCTGAACCACAAGGGGGTCGTAAAAAAAGGTAGAAAATCTTCTTTTTCTTTTTATAACTCATGCTTCAATGCAACTTGGATAGAATGTGTTATTTAGCAGTTTTATTTACAACTCAGTCAGATTCAGTTTGTTACAGAAATTGCTCTATTTGTGTTTGCAATATAATAATCTCTATTTTGATTTATTTTGGCCAGTCTCCACCCTTCATATGTGAACAACCAAAAAAAAAAAAAAAGCCTTATTAAAAATGGATGCAGGTTGAAAAGGAGGAGCTGGGCCGGAAGTATATGAAATATTTTTGTTAAAAGAAATGGAAGCTGCCAAGTTGGCTTTAGATGTATGTTAGCATGAAATGTGATAGGTAAATCTGAATTTTTCTTTAAACATGGTATAAAGAGTTTTAAAATTACAGCATTACATTTCAGACAAACCAAAATGCAGGGTCAGAACCGAAAGCAAAAATGAGCTTTTTTTGTATCTGTTTATGTAATTTTTGCTGGCAATACAGCAGAACTAGGTACTGCAGGTTTGTATTGCTCAGGATGCTGGTATAAGGTCATCCAACAATGAAAGCTGGGGTCGCAGGACTCACATGTTAAAGTGGCAGCAAAATGTTACAGATTTATGTTAATCAAAATGTAAGAATTTTGATTATCATAAAGGTTTTGTCCAACAGTTCCTGGAAACAAATTTTATCGTCTTCTTGCACAGAAACCCAAGCAAATGTTTCTTTTTTTCCTTATGTACAGACACATCTCATTAGATAAAATTATCATCATTGCTATTTCAGTCATTAAATTAGATAAAATAAAACATTTATTAGTCATGTAGATATAATAAACATTGCTCTATTTTGATCATTTTCTTCTGTTAATTTTAACATTATTTGCATTTAATTAAATTGGAATCTGTGTTATGAGCTAGGAAGATGAATAAAAAGATAAACTAACTTTTTGAGGATATTTTAATTTTAGTACCTGCAAAATCTGGGATAACTGAATCCTTAACAGCTGTGAGACTTGAGCCACATCAAATTTTAGAAAAAAGAATAAAACAAATTACATGTAAAGACTGCTGTAATGTCATGCAGTTGGTTAATAAAAAAACATTTTTTTTCAGATGATTGATTATGCTAGTTGCTTATCTTTAAACCTATTTCTTTCTCTAAATCTAACAGAATGTAGTGGGGCATGTTTGTTTACTAGGTGGGCATTGATCCCTTTCCCTTTTTCTCTCTTGTGTTCTTCAAAGCTGCTAGTTTGTGTGAGCAGTTTTCCTCTCACACTGGAAGCAATTAGAAGTATCAAGATGGGGGATGCACGGTAATTGTATCTTAGTAAATTCAAACATTTACAGGTGTCGCAGCATGCAGGTTAGATTAGGAAGAAGGCAGCAAACAGTTTTTGTTGTAAATGCATAATTAAAAAGGAGTTTGATTTCCTTTGCAGGAGTGTTTACTCACCTGTGTTCTGTGATGTGGATGTTGTTGGCTGTTGAGCAGATGATGTGGAACGGTCTGTCAAATTTATGGGGGTATCTCTGTCCGTAGCTGAAGTAATCACACCTTCATCTTCCTGCTTAGTCTCTTTGCCTGGGAGGTCTAGGAAGACACAAGTAGTTAGTCATCACTGATGGTGATCTAAAATTAATTTAATGTAAAAAAAAAAAAAGCACTGTGCCTGTGAAGAAGCAAATAGAGGAGTTAACCTAAAGCTTTCCAGACAACGGTTTAACCATTTCCTTGCTCTGCACACAGCATATCTGACACTTTACTCTGGAAAATGGAACGATTACTTTTCTTAACCCAGTTCTGTCAGGAATTGGCCTATCAACCGCTTAGTTACAGGCAGCCATTCATAGTACTGTAGACTAGGCCTCTGTGGTCTAATTACATTGACATGCTTATGTGGATGGGTGTGTACATCCTGGCTCACTGCTAATTCAGACTCTTCTACTGTAACCAGGGGAAAGTGGATGTTTTTAAATGACTTTAACAGCCAAACACAATCAAATGTCCTTTGATCATGTACTGTATATTTGGACTTTTTATTTTTTCAGTGTTGGATGACAATCATATCAGATACAAATCAAGAACATATTTTGAAACCCCAAATAAGTAACACTCCCAAAATGAAATTATTAAATAGAGGATGATTAAGTCACTAAATAATATATCAGTCAGCGCTATAGCTCCGGTCAGAAGAATGAATGGATCAACATAAGTGCTATGTTTAATTTCCATGATATTCGGTATGTTTATATATATTTATATATAGATGCACACACTTGTTGCCATGATAAAGCTTCCAAAATTGTTTTAGCTGGATATTTTTCATCTAAAAATGACAAGTTACATTACTTTACCTTCTTTTTGTGTATCTTATACTAGTAAGGTAATCTGGTTTAGCAGGAGAATTGTTCTTTTTTTTTGGTAAGACTTAATGATATTTAACCCAATAACAGTGAGTGAGTTAGACAGTTATGAGGGGTCTGAAAGTTTTACATTAAAAAGTACTTATGACAACATTTTAAAGTACAAAAAAAATTAAATAAAACATGGAAATATTCTTCATTACCACAGTAGATTAATTGAAATATTTGAATCCACACCCATGAACTGCTTTTTTAGTTCATATTTCATTTTTTAAGTATTATGTATTACTGCACATTTGTCTGCAAATATTAATTCAAAACAGGATTTCTCGCCAAATTTCTGCTCTATTGCTAGTCAAGTTGTAACTTTAGACATGTTTTTGTTTAGTGAAGACAAATATTTCACTGGGGTTTTATCAAATTAAACTATTGAATTTACAAACTTTAATTAGATGTGCTGCTGTTGAGCATTTTAAAGGATCATACTTTTTCGATAAACATAATGGAAAAGAAATAGATTGCTTGTAGGTTTACTAACATAATTTATAAAGAAAAGCTTTCAGAAATTGGAAAGCTGGTTTGTCCTTTATGTCTACAATACAATCAGCTCAGAGGACATTCTTAAATATGCTTAGAGGCAGCATCACAGGAGCATGTGACGGGAGATTGAATTATCTATTATAAAATCTGCTACAAATGATTTAATGAAGGTAAACATGTTCACAAACTCACTCAGTCAACAGTCACAGACACTGATGAAGCTACGTTTCTGGTTTAGTTGCTGAAAAGATCCATATTCCATGTTGGTGCCAAATTATCATTTACTATCACAGAATATATATAATATAAGTGAGTTAGCATAATGCGTTTTGGAGCTTTATTCACCTATTTGAACTTTTTAGTGTATCTATTTTTCTAAAGTTCTTATGCCATATGATTTTAAACTCCTACAATTAACTGTTTATACATATCTCAGTGACAAGAATTAGTTTTAAAACGTTTTATAGTAATTCAAATTTATAATAATGAGCTAATCTAAGTAAATCTCTGTGTTTTTGTATTTTTTTTTATCATAATAGTCATAACTAGCAGCAATTTCTACTAGTGTAATTGGTAGAACGCACTGAATTCTGAGACTATTTTTGGCAAGGCATGTTTCATGTAATGTTTTACAGCTTCAACAGGAAGATAATGTTTCTCACAATTTCATCATTATCATTGTAAACCTGGATAAGTTCTATGAAAGAAAGCTCCTATGGGTTTCTTAGAAATAATCTGAGCTAAAAATGAAGGCGATGCAGCAGCTTAATAAGGTAGTTGATGATGGGTAGCAGTAAAAAGAAGTAAAAAGTTTAGCTTTTCGTAATTCCTCTGCTTTACTCTTGTGTGTGTTTCTTTTGTGTTATTTCTTATTTTAATTTCTGTAGGGGGTCAAAAGACCATATCTGCTTGGATCAGTTCTTTAGGCAATATCCCACTAAAATTAGGTTCAATAGATAGCACAACTATGTTAGATTTTTTTTTTATATTTATATAAATGTCATGAAATCCCCAAAGCCTTAATTGTTTTGTCAATGGGTTTATGTGATTAATCAAATTTGCTGTTGTTAAAGTGACCACATAGATATTTTATATATATTGTATATTGTATAGTTTATATTGTATTGTATTATATATTGTATAGTTTAATTTAACGAATGATTTTTGTCTTTTAAGTGTAACCAAGATTTAATTGTTGTAGTTCTCATTACCATATTTTTTTTTAGATGTTTTATAAAACAAACTCTGTCAATTTATTTATATATACATATAGATATATAACAAAAAAAAATATTTTTATGGCAAATTCAATTTTCCATTTACCCATTCACCATACAAGATTGATTTATTTTATTCTTTGGGAGATTCTTAACAGTCCGACTGAATTTAGGATGTTTGGATTTTTTTTGTATTAGAAAGATTGAAAAAGTTAATTATTTATAAAGGTCTGAATTATGTTTTTTTTTTTTTTGGTAGACTGTAGAAACATCATCAAAATGTAGAAAAAATGTAGAATTTTAAGCACTACAATAAAACAAGACCTGTTTTTTAAAGGTGCATAAAGGTGGAATATCCTTAAAGGACAGATGTTGTTTGCCAAAGATTTCTTATTATTGATTTAGCATAGAAATGGTGGTAGGAGGATAGTATGTAATTCAATGATTTAATGCTTCTGGCTCTTGAAAACTTAGTCCCCAGCCTCTATTTCTGTCCTTTCATAATTGCCCTTGTTTCCTCATGTTTAATGGTCCCTCAATAGATTATCTGACACAGATGCACAACATTGCTGTTTCTTTTCATCCCTGACAGCCTTCTCAAGGGCAAGGCCATTGAGCAGAGCAAATGCACTCTTGATGCATACAAGGCTACCCGCTTTTGTGGAGAAGATGCTTAGTATCTTTCGAGATTAAATTACTAATACTCTGCAAAATCTGGGAGATTAATATTTTGATGTCTGATTTAAATGTACCTTTTGTACATGTCTACGTATTTATATATCTCTCACCCTTTTTATCTAATCCTTTCAAAGCATCAGTGGCCATAAAGTCAAACCCTATGTCCATGGAGGAAAGCAAGAGGGATTTGTGTTTGAACAAAGATAAAACGATTCCTTACATTGTTGGGGGGGTTGGGAGAAAGGGACGGGTCTAAATGGTAAGAAGCCTGTTCGCCATCCTAATAGCAACTGGCAAGCAGACGGTCCCACAGGAGAAATGGCGGTTTCGCTGAGTCTGCATTCGGAATACTGATACGTGAACACAGAAGCCCTCTATACCCAGCTGAAACCCCCTCTCTTTGCTATCTGCCACTGTACTGAAAACAACTGCAGACACAACAACCGCCGCAGACAAAACATCCAGCAGGTTCAGCAAACGGTGCAAGATCAAAACCTGTGATTGCTGCATTCCAACACATTTTAAGAAAGTCTGACTTTGTACCATATGTTGTGTTTTAATAAGGCATACAGAATAAGCCATTTATCTTTATAACATTGATAAGTTTTAAAGTGTCCTTATAACCCAATACTTAAACCTATGCTTAAAACTAAACCGCAGCAATGCACTAATGAAGTTGAGGGGGAAACTATGCAGACTAAGAACCCTTTGAGGATCAAATAGAAAGATTTATATTTTTCATAAAATAAAATGTAATAAATTGCACTTTGAAGTTAATTAAAATGTTATGCTGTATCAAAAGGATACATTAAAAGACATGAGCTGGGATGCAACATTAGACGATGGAAAGTCATCAATCATGATTTCATCAATCGCATACCAAAGCCTCCCTCACTTAGAATAATCGACTCATCATTTTCTTGTTCAACCTTTGACCCAACATGATGAATGTGTGTGCACTTGCAGGAAGATCTTCTGAATTCACATTAAGCATACATACACCCAACTTGCACCAGTTATGGGGGATGGGAAGGAAAAAATGTAGTGCTTCAATGTCAAACAAGGGATCCCTGAGAGACACCTTTTTTCCTTTTATGTTGGCTCTTTAGACTATCTTCTCTTTCTTTACATTGCAATTCATACAGAACTGAAGTGGTATTGCTTTTAAAAAGCTCCTTCTAAAGGGTTAAACTTGTAGTATCAGATTTGGAGGACTTTTAAACACAAAAGAGAAGCGTTACATTTGAAAGTAACAGTGAGAAGGAAAATTAACACAGAGCTTTGGATAGATGACAAGTAAGCAACACATCATTCAAAGGGTATTTTGAGTCACAACATATTGCCCAATGGATTCCATGGCTTTGTTCTTGATGTATGCATTGGAAATTTAATAACCCTGTATTATTTTTTTGTGTTTCTAAAGCAGCTCATATTTCCAAGAGCTCTCATGTTGCTGGCGGTTTTCTCTTTACAAGTCAACACTTGACTCATTTGGCAGTTTGACCATTGAATTACACCATTTCATGTTAAAAACTACTAAATGTCCTTTTAAGACACTCCTCTGTGTATCATTTAAAAATTGATTCCAGACTTTTACTTTTGCAGTGACATCATAATTTAGAAATTTGATCTTTGCAGATATTTCATTATGAGATTAAAAGACACTTGGAGAGTGTCTTCATGACTTTAAATTGAGCCATTTATATATATATATATATATATATATATATATATATATATATATATATATATATACACATATGATAGAGTGAGATAAAGATAGATATATTATTTTTTTTTGTTTAAAACATGCAGTGTATATGATAGGTCATTATCTAAAAGCTTTTTTCAGTGTTTTTCGTAACATAAAATAATTCTTGACCGGAATAATCTCCGTTTCCAAGGTGAGAACTTATTCAAATGACCCAAATGACAAATAACACATTTAATGGACATTATAATTTGAATTTCACATTTATTATTTTATTGACACTTGAATAATGTTTATTTAGTACACTGGGTGATCAAAGATCAAACTAGAAAGTAAACCCAGGCTCAAGTCTTAATTTTTGTTGCTACATATTTAGTTTAATGAATAAAAATAAAAATGTAATTAAATAAAAAAAAAAATAATAATTCAACTAAAATTATGCTTTATCACAAAATGTGTGTTTCTTTTGTACCTGTACTTTTATTAAATATTACTATTTAAATTTAAAATGCTAATTTATCAGAAATGCTATTTCTAATTTTACTTGTGTGTGTATGTATGTATATTTGTATGTATTTTTGTGTGTATATATGTATATTATATCCAGCATTTTCTTACGGGTACTAATGGGTATAACTCCCTTAATAATGCAATGTTATCTTCACAAATTAGATTTGGATATACTTTATCAGTTTATATCTAGTGTTTTGGAAAAGTATATCTATAAAAAGGTAAACAGGCTATTTTTGTATAATTTTACTTAACCTTGATTTAATATTAAGACAAGCAGATTGTAGCAAACTGTGATATAGCAACCATTAAAAGCTAATGCTTAAGAGTCAGAGAGGGATGAAGTGAGTGAGAAACCCTCAGCAGCACTTAAAATATTGACCCTTACATTGCCAAGCCTGATCAAGAAGCAGATTTGCTTGTGTTGGCTAGGTTTTACTTACTGTTTTTCTATTTGTTCTTTACATTTCTTTTAAGCTATGCTTTTACCAGCAGCAATTTCAAAGAATTTAGTTTTTTTGTAACTCTCAGGACTAATGACAGAGATGATATTGACCAAATTGAACCCTAAAGATCTGCATGCACATGATTGATTACATTCATTTACTCAATTTCCTCCATAGATTTGCTGAAGTCTGCTTACCCTCTGGAATTGGAATGTTAGTCCCATGGCTTTGAGTTGTGCTTGGTATCGACTCCACAGCAAAATTCTGATCAATCAAGAGGGTAGTAGAGAATATTCCAGGTTGTACAGCATTCATTGTTGTCCTCTCAGAAGAGCCCAAGTCGAAATGGCTCTGGGTAGTCTGGATTTCCTGTGTTGTGCTCTCCACGTCTAAATTAGGATTCCTCCTAACGGTGGAAGAAAAGAGTCCTGGACCTTGTTTAGCATTTACTGTACTGGTCTCGGAGAAGTCCAAGTCTAAATGGCGTTGTGTGTAGTATATGCCTGGTGTTTTCTCATCCTTTTCCAAGTTATGATCAATCCTTGATATGGTAGGCAATACTCTTGGCTGTTGTTGGGAACTCTGGATAATGTTATCAGAAAATTCCAATTCTAAAAGGCCTTTTGTTGGATACATTTCTGATGTTGTGTCCTGAACTACTAAGTTATGATCAGTCCTGAGAGCAGCAGGGAATACTTCTGACATTTGTCCAGCAGTCACCATACTGGTGCCTGAGAAATCCATTTCTAAAGAGTTTTGAGTGGGGTGAATTTCTGTTGTGACTTCTGCCACAGCCGGATCCATCCTTGGCATGGAAGAAAAGACCACTGGCTGCTGCTCAGTATTGACCAGACTCCTCTCAGAAATGCCTATGTTTGAGTGACCCTTTGTGGGGTAAATTTCAGATGTTCCTTCTAATGAGTATACGGCGACACTAACAGCTAAATCTTCTTTTTTTGCAACAACATTCATTCTTGAAATGGTGGGAAGTGTAATATGCCCCTGAGGGTGTGTGCTGGTCTGAGCAGTCTCCACTAGTCCGGGGTTGGGTGTTGTTGTTTGGACTGTGTTCCACGTCAGGGCTGTAGGAACTGTAGTTTCTGGAGGGACTGTTGAAGGAATGCTTTTTGTAAAGTAAACTTCCTGATCTACTTTTACGTCATCTGAAAGTGGATTTTCGGGGTCATCTTTACTAGGATTTCCAATTGTGGTAGATCTCCATGATGTTAGATTATGTGTTTTGTTCTGTACTGAAGGGTTAGTTCTGTGTGGACTCTTGGTGAACAATGTGTTTATGATAAAACTGCTGGTGGGAGAAACAATAGCTTCACTTATTCTCTGAGCTGTGCCTCTGTGTGGCAAATCTGATGTCCTAGTGGGAAGTGGTTCAGTTCTTATCTCTGTCACACTCATAAAGAGGCTTTGAGTCAATGTTGTGATTTCTTGGGATTGCTCAAAATTGCTCTCTTCTCCCGATGCAGCTTGGTCTTGAAAAGGACTTGTTAGTTCCCTCATCCCTTTGGCAGTTGTTGTTGAGACAGCATCTTCATTTATGCCATTTGAGCTTCCGAAAAGGCCAAATGAGGGTAGGGATGGGAGCTTGGGTAGGGATGGGAGCTTGGGTATGGATGGGAGCTTGGGTATGGATGGAAACCACGAGTAAATGCCAGATTTCTCCTCTCCAGTGGCCTCTTCATCAGCCAGAGCTCGATTGTGAAGTAACAAATAATACCAAAAGAAGAGAGCCAAGGTCTGAGGAAATCGAAGCATCCTGTCGACTGTGGAGCACTGATTGTCACATGTTGTTCTCTATTCTTCTGACCCCTGAGGCAGATAGGGCTGGCTTCTACCAATGGCCTAGAAGACAAGAACACACAGGACACTTGGTGACACACTTTTCTTCTGCTGCATTTGGGTTGGCTTGAGCTGAAAGAGGCAACTGTTCATCTATCTTTTCAATGAACATACTTACAAAGGAGCTTTACTTAGTAACCTACTTAAGAAAAAAAACAAGTGTAGAAATAATACAATTTATTACAACCACAAGATGAAGAGGGTAGTTAGATAATTTTTTAACAAAAAGATTCACTGATGTTGCAAGTTTGTTTTTATTTTGGCCTATAAGCATATATTTTATTCATAAGATTATTCAAAGTTCTTTGCAAATAAAATAACAAAAGTAAAGGCATATTCTAAGCATGGCTAATTTTAAAGTAAGTAGTGATTAATATAAACCAATTAAACAATCCTTCAAGCTTAAAGAATTGTTGGAGGAAATAATGTTGTGAATTGAAAGGAACAAATTACAAATCAAGACCCGTCAGTTCTTCAGCGACCATGGTATTGTAAAGTCAATCACTGCCTGAGATCTAAGGACTGACATGAAATTACTGAATTTTCCGGTGTTGATCAGGACTCTGGCAGTGGCATTGTGGATTGCTTATACCCAAATTGATTTTCTTAGATTTATTTTCTCTGATATCTTAGATATAGCCATTTTACAATAATGTTACTTGTTGAAATTCAAATAATGCAGTGGTTTTATGTCTTGGTTTACCAGGAAACACTCTATTCAACAATGTTAGGACAGTTGTGAGCAGACTTTAATAGGCTTTAGATGGTTTTTATTCAAAATTCAAGGTCTGGCTTTTTAAAGATGCTTGATTTTCATTCCTTTTTTTAGTCTCTATGGGATTAACTAAGGGTGGGAAAAATAAAGCAACATTTTAAAATTAAATACAAGGATTTCAGTATAAGTAGTGTATAATACAAGCAGTCTTTGCATTGTAAAGCTGGTGAAAGTTTAGAACCATACACTCCTTCATATTAAGGTAACTGTAAGTTAAAGTGGCTACTTACTGATAGCTATATAAAGTTGTGTTTTAAAAAAAGATGTTATAATATTCCATAATCTCAGCCACAGGCAATATATATATTTACTGGAGAAAAAAAAAAGGTACATAGAATGTAGCCTGGAGGAACCTCACATGTGGTCTTCTTAGGCCAAGACTTATATTAAACAAGTAACAGTAAGTAGTAAGAGTTCAAGTAATTTAGCACAGTCCCAGAAAAATCACAACCAGTTTTCTGTAATCTGTCCAATTATATGTTGTGATTAGCAATTTCATTCAGTTTTATACAAGGATTGAACTTTATATCTTCATATGTTTCCAAGAAGCAGTCATCTAGATTTTTTTCTGTGAGTTTGGCTGGGAGGAGGGCAGTGAATAATTGGAGTCCGGCTTTCAGTTTAGGAATCGGGGGACCTCCTATTCTTTTGTAAAGTGTTAGATGGTTCAAAGTCACCAGCCTGTTGCCTCAGTGAAAAGATTGGAGCACCAAAGGAATTTCCCCTTTGAAAACAACAACCTGTGTGCTTCAGCAGTACTTAACTTCCTCTGATGAACATCCCCAGGCTTTGGCCTTGTTGTCTTTAAATCTCAGATTTATTTGTACTTTCAAGCAGACAAAGATATGTGGGAGTAAAAAAAACATCAATATTCACAGAAACTTGCTAGTATACTGAAGCTCTCCCTTTTTTTTTCTTTAATTCTCCCACTCCATTTTCTAAATCCTTTAGGTTCCAGCAACCTTGACACTTTTTGGTTTACAGCAATTTTTTTCCTCATTTATTTCTTGTTTTCCAACTGTCTTAATTGTATATTTATTATTTCAGCCACAACTTATAAAAGTCTAAGTGGTCAGAAGTGTCCATGTTTAACCAGTCATTCCCTCTTCTGTATATAGACCCTGATATGAAGCACACACACTCTTAAAAGTCTAAGGTTTGGCTAACAAAGGGTTAAACATAGAGCCTCCTACACACACTATTTTTGTCACATTGATTGTGCAGCATTAAAACCAGTTTCCATAGGGGCAATGCTTATTTTTGGTAGCACTCCATTCAAGCTTGCAGTGAAGAACCTGCATAGAATATATCTGTAGTCATATCTCTGCATGTCTGAACTCTGACTTTTTTTTCTCAATGTTAACACACCATGTACTTCTTTGCCCACATGTAGTGTTATGTAGAAGTTGCAAACACCCACACATGCTCTTCCTTCTGGTGTCTTGGAGAGATTTTGCAAACAGTTTCTATTGGAAATATGCATGACAACAAAAAGTAATAGAGTATTAAAATAAATTCTGTTTTATCCGTAGGTTCTCTGTTTTGTTTTGACCCTAATAATATTCATTATTAAAACAGCAGAGGCTATGTATAATTTAGCTAGACTAACGTACTCACATTTCACTGCAGTATCACTTTCCTTCATCATCTAAAGGCAAAGAAAGAATGGACAGTAGAAAAATATAATTGCTTCACAACTGAGATTAAGTTTTATTTAATTACAGTGTGTTGGGTAAGTGGTGTTTCCAGTTTAGCTTTGAGATTACTTTATATTTCAACATCCTCGTGAAAATTGAGACAACAAAAAGCAAAACTAGTTTATTTTTTGAAGCAATAAACTGTTACTGTTTTCTTTTATAAACTGTACAGCGCTATTTCAACAGATTAAACAGGTCCTAATCATTTGTTTTAGAAATACAAGATGCAAAAGACCAATTTCATCACCATCCCATCCGCTTAGGTGTGATTATTAGTGTTTTTGTTCTTATTGTCTTGTAAAGTTTTTTTTTTTTTTTCACATTCATAACTCATAGTAACTCTGGATGAGTATTTGATACTAAAGCTTAAAGTTGTCTCAGAAAAAGGAGCAGAAGCACTTATTCAATTAACATACATATATTTTACTTTGTTAGTTTACCTAAGCTGATATCCTTAGCACCAACCCTTTTACCATAGTGAGATGTTCATCTTCCTGCATACATGTACCTGATCTTTTGCTGTTGATGTATCATTCTTCTGAATTACTCTACATAGCGCATTTCCTCATAGCTTTAATTTTAGGAGCATTTTGCCAATTGTTTACTTTGGGCCTTGTGTATTCCTTAGTTTTGACAATCCAGGTTTATGTTTTGTCATATCCACATTGAATTTATTTGTAGTTGTTGCATTTATGGTAAATAAAAGTACACAATTATTAAATATATGCCAGATTCCAAAGATGTCCACATATATTGTAGAGGAGTGTATAGTGGCTTAATTTTTACTTAAACACAAAGCCTTTAAAAAGTTTTGTGGAGTCAAATAATTTAGTAAAGAAAGTAATTATTCATGCACACACTTGTTTGAAGGTGAAAGGTATTTTAACACTTTATTTTGATATAATAAATGTTGTACATCAACAGCCTATCAGTCACAGTTCCTTTGTGGCTGATAGGCTGTTTACCTGGGTGAATTGTCCTATATTTAAGTTTTTTTTATAAAAAAATATAAGAGAGTGCAAGAATATGAAATAAAAGCTCTGCTTAAAAAGACAAAAAATACATTTTTCTGATCTCTTTCTTGTTGAAGGATTGGTTACGTGAAATCCCTCAACAAGAAAACCATCATTCTGATCGTTTCCAAAGCCTTCATAGACAAGATGGGATTAATTTGTCCTCAAACTCCTCCTTGGTCTGCTCTAGGTTCTCCTTCCAATAACAACAAAGACAGGCCAATAACACCTCCAATGGAAGATACCCTTGGAGCTTCTTGGTGGTTAACTGCTTTCTCTGGCTCATTTACAAGTTTCATTCAGATTATTGAGCTTCTCGCCTTCTCTTAGACTAAGCTCTGCCTTCCTATGGAGATAAGCTACTTTCAGTCACTTATATCCAGGATCTCCTTCTTTTAGTCATGATCTGTATCTCATTACCAGGTGTCAGTCTAAAATTAGACGGACTGGTGAAACCAAAGCTTTACTCATGGCTTTGCTGTTTCTTTCCCACAGCTGACTGAAGCATCTTTCTACATATATTCCTTTCCGACCCACCATCCCCCATGAACAAGACACCATGACACCTGAAATGCTTTACACTCAGCTGTTTACTCCTATTTAACCAGAGACTGACTCCCAATCTGTAAGGTGCAATCTACCTTTTTCTGGTTGAAAACAAGATTCACACTTTGAGTAACTGACTCTTTCCTGTAGCAGACTCTGCTTCGATCCATTCCATTGCATGGGGAAAGTAGTGGCTTAAATATACTGAAAACAACATCTGCAATAATCGAGGCTGAGACAATGACATTGTCAATGACAATGACAAGAAGCAGCACTGGCAGGGTCCTGCTTACACTGGTATCAATCATTTTCTTTTAGATATGATATACATTTATGTTTGGTTATAGAAGGACTGAATATACCAGAGAAGCATGGATGCTGTGCTAAAGTATAGCAGTGTGCCTATAAACTGCTCCTAAACTTTACAAGAAATCAAATGAAAGGTCATGCAAGAATTCATTACACTGTAATTAAGCCACAACGATAATGGTTTTGGGTAAACGAAGAATTGCAGTGTAACCTAATGATAAAAAACTGCGGTATTAGCTGTCAAAAAACGATCACATAGATGCTTCATCGATAATTTCATGAGTAGTGAAAAAGCAAGTCAATTTAGCTTCCATATTAGCTACTTTCTAACCGCTTTTTCTTTTTTTTTTCAGTAATCACTCACCAGATCTGACTCATGGCTTGTTAAGTCACAGGCTGACAGGCAGCAGAGTTAATTAAGAAAAAATATAATAAGTGTCAGGAAATTAACAGCTGCTTTCTGTTATTTTGTAATCATTTTTGAGATATCGCCTTAGATGGAAAGCTGGATCTCATACTGTGCAGCATCCAGTGAAGCAGAGGTGCACAGAACAAACAATTAGGGGCAGCAGGGGAGAAGCAAAAGCCCAAATCCACCATGTTATCATTCTACTGTGGCCTTATCAGTGCAGGAGAGAAACTCTGCAGCTGTCTCCGTC